TTTCATTTTGTATATAACCTCGTGTTCACATGTTAATATGTATATCGTATATGTATAGTGTTATGTGCTTTTTTTCTTCATAATTCCTATTTTTTCGTTTTGTTTAAATTTAAACTTTTAACAATTTTCTCATTTTGTAGTGTTTTGTTTTAATGTACATCGTAAGCGTCGGCATTGAGGAACAAATTATTAACAAATTCAATTAGAAATGTTTGTTGTTTGTTTTTCTTTTTATTATTATTATTAATATTAAGGTTTAGTAAAAGGTTTTGCTGCTTGTTCGTTATTTTAAATTTTGTTTTTGTTTTCCATTAAAATGGGTTTTAAAAATATGCATTTACTTAGGTTTGTGTGTGGTTTCTTTTAGTAAACAAATAAATACACTTCTTCCCATTTGCATTTTTACAGTACGTAGTTGGTTTGTAGTTGTTGTTGCTTTTGTTGTTGTTAATAAGTTATGCATTTATAATAATAATTGTTTGTTTGTTGTATATATAAAAAATCTTTGGCAGCATCTTCATGTTTCATTTCTTTCTTCTTTTTTTTTTACCAATTTCTACTGATTTTCATTGGACTTTTTGCCGAGAAACTTGAGTGTGTTGAATAGAGGAGTGTGGGTGGTGGTGGGTGTGTGAGTGTAGGTGTGTAAGTGTGTGTGATTTGTGTATAAAGTTTGTCAAAATTTATTTAAAAGCTAAACAAAGTAAAATAGGATAGAAATCAATAAAAAGAAGAAATAGGTGGAAAGCGTTATCAATTGTTATACGCAACAATGGTATAGAATAATTGTTTAAAATTACAAAATAATATGCCTTTTTATTCTTGCTTTCAATTCGTTTCATTCTCCATTTTGTTTCTTTTTCTTCTGCTTTTGTTTATTGCTTCTTGCAGCTTTAAGCCACAATAACGAACTCAAAAGGTAGAAGGTGAACACAAAAGCGGCTGCAGTGCCAAGCAAATGTAGGGGGAGGGGCAGGTGGCAACTGTTATATTTCTATTAATTGCATACACACACATGTATATAAAACTGTGTATTTGTGGGTGTGTGCGGGCGTTTGTTTTTTTTCGATCTAAGTTGACTAGCAACTGGCATATGGCTTTGAAAAAAGATATTGTTTTTGAAATTTTTTTTTAGAAATTTATCTGTTATACAGACGATTATCTACTGTCCTTTGCAAACTGTGCGCAGTGCTATATAAGCTGTAATACACTGTGCTATAGAAACTAGTACGGGCAAGCTGTTATACACTTTTTTACAGCTATGGAAGCTTGTGTGCATTTATTGTTATTTTGAGTTATTTGGCCCGCCAGAACACCCCCCTTTTTTGCTAGCCACCTCGCCACCATTGCATGCCATTTAGCTAAACATAAGTTTCGTAAATAGTTAACTACATAATGTATATATTTTTGCTAACTGTTTTTTTTCTTTAAAACTATGAATTCATATCGCTTTTTATATTTTATTTGTTTTTTTTTTTTTAGATAATAATCTCAACTAAATTGTAAATTTCATTTAAACTTAAGCACATTTTAAAAATTTGTATGCAATAAGAGAAAATTTGTTTGTTTTTGTTTTTTGTTTTGTTTTGTTTGTTTTTGGAAAAATGATTTTATAAACGCATTACATCATCATCATATTATTGTTTAATATCGTGTTCGGTCTCTCATTAACTGCTAAATTGATTTGAAAACGTATATATATGTATATTGTTTAGAACATTGTCGCAGAACTAAAAACAAAATCATAATCGTACTGATAATAATAATAATAACAATAATAAATGTTAAAAATAAAAGCGTGTGGAATTACAATTTCATCTTGAAGGCTTCTTTTAAACACTAGAAACAAATGTAAAATATAATTTTTTTTAAAAATTTGGCATTTTTTTCATAATTTTCTTGAATTTTCATGATTTGTATAACAGAGTTTTTGTAAACAGAGATTTCACAAAGAGGCATAGGTGCAGAGAAAACAACATGTTCGAAATGTGTTCTCATCATTGTGTTGTGTTGTTTTAATACTTTCTTGTTGACACAAAACAAATAAGTAGAAAACAAAGTAGGAATATAATCTATATGTATAAATATATATATATATAGACAGAAAAAAAAAATGTGTACATAAATGAGGAGAAAACAAAACTCTAAGTAAATTCACTAAGCACAGAACTTGAGGCTCTTCTTTGGCGCGCTCAATAGAAATTACAAATACAAATAAAGCGGCAATTATTAATTACATAATTATAACATAATTATTACTCTTAGGTGGTTACAGCGAGTGGTAAACAAACAAAAAAATAAATGATGTATTATAGTTTAATGATAAAACTAAAAATTATATTTCAACAGCCAAATTGTTCACAAAAAATTGCATTTTTTCTTTCTCTCTTTCTCTTTCATTCTCTTAAAACAACTTTGGGGATTTCAAGTGTTTTTTGTTTTTTTTTTTTAAATTAATAGTTTGATTTTCTTTTTTTTTTTAAATACACATTTAAGTTTTGTAGTTAGACAACAAAATCAAAAGCGCTTTCTTTCTTTTAAAACTTATATAGGCTTTTCTTTTGTATATAGTAGTTAAATGTTTGTTTGTTGGTTTGTATGTATAAGAGCGTAGGTAGCGTAATATATAATGTATGTATACATGTATAGATTTATAAAAATATGTGTGTAGCCTCGCACGTGACAAAATAAAAACAGAAGAGAAAATAATGATTACACAGCGTTGACAAATTAACTTCACGTTTCAACTATGAAAAGATTTTTCAACTTAAATGGCTAAAATACAAAATTGCAAACATTGTTAAAACTAAACAAGTTACTCTGTGGGTGTCGATGATGTGCGGGGCTCGGCCGACGCACTAAAACGTATAATTAAAATCTAAACTATAAAAAAAAGTATACTATATATAAATGACAAGATTAAAACGGTTTTCAAGAATTTTCGCTTCGCAACAACATATGTGAGTAACAAAACACAAAAAAAAACCACAGAAATGTCGGTAAAACTTCAATTAAATGGCTTATGTCGGACATAAACGTTATAGTTGTAGTTAAATGATACATTAATTGCTAAAATGTGTTTTATGAAGTGTTATAGAACTATATGTTTATATGTATCGCATTAATCTTCATTTAGCGTCGTTTGCTCTTACTAAAAATATTCGTTGTTATTATTGTATAGTTTTCTTCTTCTTGTTTTTTCGAAAGTAAATACGCAAAACTGTAATGTAATGTTAATGTGTGTGGGTGTGTTTGTGTGTGTGTATGGGCATGTATTATAGCCTAATGTTAAAAATAATATGTAGTTCACATAATGTTTGTAGCTCAAAAATAAATTGCCATTTACACATAAAAATTCACAAAAGAGAACAACAAAAATAAGAATAGTTCTAATTACAAGAATTAATAGCAATAATAATAATGATAATAGTCATAATAATCATATAAACAGTTAAAACTGTTATAAAATATAATGTCTTGGGAGTAAACCAGCCTTATATTGTATTACAACGGGAAAGAATTATATATATATATATATATGTATGTTTGCAGATATATATATATATATATATATGTTGCATACATATACACATCTATGTGTGTTTTGTTGTATATAAGCAAAAGGAATATCGTTTAACATTGTAAATATATAGAACTTTACGATATTATTTGTTTATTATAGTTATTACTTTTCCTTCATTATTTATTATTATTTTTAGTTTTGCCAAATGCTCTTGCTTTGCTTTTTGTTATTAATATTATCGTGTGTGTTTTTGTTTGCATTTGGTTTGTTAGCTTTATAAAATGTGTTGTTGAACGCATTGAAAGCATATTATTTATATATATGGTATACACATATATGCATACACATATCTAAGAGTGTTATTATTATTATTATTAACATATTATGTATATATATTCGTTTATTTAGTTATTATGCACAGCGATGGAAAAAAAGACTGCCTATATACACTGATCGCTGCTTTATATATACATATATGTATATACCAATATATATGTATATGCTTTTTATGTGTATTGTTCGTATGTAGGTAGGTAGGTATATACATATATATATATATATATATATGTATATATATATGGCAAAATTCATTTTCATTTTTCACACATATGTTTAAGATATTTAAATATATACATATACACATATATATTCATTGATTTATATGTATGTATAAATAGATATCACCTTACAATAGCAGCATTAAGAAAACCTAAACAGTTTTTTGTTTTTATAAACTACGTGTTGTTAATTATTATTGCCTATTTTGTTTTTTGCAACGACGCCTCAACAAATTGTCCACAATTTTTGAAAGTTTCAGTTATGATTACATTTCTTGTTTATATTTAAGATTTCCTCCTCAATCGATGTAAATGTGCACAAAAGGCGCAACTTTTACATTCCTATATATATACACATATATAGACTTGTATACTTATATAGATATATATCCGCGCATATATATGCGTGCTTCGTTATTTTTGTTTTATATACTATATATATGTATATAAAAAAAAAGAAAAATCGAGACTGGAAGGGTATGCACAAAAAGCTAATCGGTCGATATAACATTGTATATGTCTATATATATAGTTAATAAGTAACATGTGGTGTCTGTGTATGTGTGTGTTTTTTTTTTTTTTTTTGTGTGTGTGTCTAGTGTATGACAGTTTTAACAAAGAACATAAATACAAACAATTCAAAGAAGTTAAAAAACTTGTTGAAAATATATGGTATGTATATATCAAGATTTCTCTACTCTTGTAAAATTTTCATTTTAGTTTTTACAAGGTTGTTGTTGTTTGTTTGTTGTTTAAATTGGAGATCAAGAATAGTAGAGTTGCAATTTCTTGTTGTTGTTGTTGATGATGATGTTGTTTTGTTGTTGTTTTGTTGTTGTCTCGCGGCACAGCTTTAACGTTTTGGTGGTTTTTGAGATTCTTAACACTTTCTTTGCCTTTCTCTTGCTTACTACGGAAAATTGTTTTTACTTTTTATTAATTATAAATTTAAAATTATAAATTAATGTGTGTTATTTACAAGACAACGTTGTTGGTAATTGTTGTCGCAATATTTCCCTAAATAATGCGACATTTTTCAACTGCTTGTTATTATTTTCTTTCTGTTTTGTTGATGTTTGTTTTGCACACCGTGGTTGTTGTTCTTGTTGTTATTTACAAAACAACGTTGTTGGCAATTGTTGTCGCAATATTTCTCTAAATAATACGACACTTTTCAATTGCTTGTTATTATTTTCTTTCTGTTTTGTTGATGTATGTTGTGCACACCGAAGTTGTTGTTCTTGTTGTTATTTAGAAAGCAACGTTGTTGGCAATTGTTGTCGCAATATTTCTCTAAATAATACGACATTTTTCAATTGCCTGTTATTCTTTTCTTTCTGTTTTGTTGATGTTTGTTTTGCACACCGTAGTTGTTGTTCTTGTTGTTATTGATGTTGTTGTTACTCTAGTTTCTCATTTACAATGGCGGCGGCGTCTCGGCTTTGTTGTTGCTGTTGGGCAAATCGGCATCATTATTATTATTGCTGCTATTGTTGTTGATGTTGTTGCTGGAATTATTGCTATTGTTGTTGTTGCTGCTGCTTTCGAAACTGCTGTTATTGTTGTTGTTTTGTTTCCTGCATGAGAGTCCGTTGATGCATCGGCTGCTATGCGCAATCCTATAGCTATTGCCATTGTTGACTTCACTTGTTTTCTGTTGCTGCTGTTGTTGTTGTTGTTGATGTTGTTGCTGCCGACGGCAACCATAAATTTTACCCGATGAGTATTTGTAATTATATTTGTTCATATCGACAGCTGGACGATTGTTTCGCGCTTTGATTTGCAATCAGTGAACATAGAGGGTATTCAAAACTAATACATGATGATTGTTCTTAGCCAGGGTTACCACATAGCCTTCGGAGGTGATTTTCAAACCGCAACATCGTGAAACCTGTAACAACAAACATATTTATCAATCCAAAAAAATAATAACAAATGTACTAATTTTCAAACTAAATTCAACATTATTGGTGCAATCGTTCCCATATGGCATCTAGCTATATAGTGACACTTTAAAAAACTTGTAAATACAACCTTTATTTACGATGTCCTCACAAAGAGTGCACCGATTTCATTGTAACTTTAATATATAGTCTGACATTGCATAATACTAATAGAAACTAAATTTGTTTGGTACTGAAACTGATTTTCCCAGCGATAGTTCCTATGGCGGCTATATAAAATAATGCAGCTATATATGGTTTGTACTAAACTTGATGTGCATGTCGATAATACAACCCAGCTTGCCAAATTTGAAAGCCCTAGCTATTATAATAATTCAAAAGTTGACGTTCATACAGACGGACATACATTGGAGTAACGAAATAAATGGGTTCTGACACACCTCTCTCGGCTTTTCTAGTATTTTTCCGCTTAACAGGTATTTGTTATATTTATATATCTCCATATATATACTTTTTATAGCTTGTGGGCGTATTTTTAAAATCGAACACACATAGCTATGACTAAATGGACTCAGCCACGCATCTTCTACTTGATATTCGTTCACCTTTTAATTACTGACTGGGTGTATACATATTTGAGTCTGTATATACATATTTCTTTCCTTTTAATTACTAACTGGGTGTATAAATATTTCAGTCCAATAGTTTTCTACAATCGGTAGAAGCAAAAAGTTGTATTATATGTCAACAATCAATTAATCTATATATAAGTAACCGATACGATTATATATTTGAAATACTTCTGATCTCATACTGGGCTCAGAGCACTGCCACACTTTAATTAATACGCGATTCAATTTCCAAAATACTTTAAATGACATTATAGACATATGTGTACATAAAATGTTCTACTATTTTGTGTGAGCAGGATAGAAATACACGTTATAAAAGAATGAGAAAGATAGCATGCGCCACATACCTTAACATGTGGACACTCGAACTCGGACTGGAGGGCGCCCTCGCGCGAATAGCAGGCAACATGGAAGCGATTGCCATGGGAGTCGCCGATGAGCACATCGCCAGCATTCGATATGTCGATGCCATTGGGGAAACAGGTGACCTTTTCGTTCCCAATGCGGTAGAGGAAGGTGCCATCCTCCTGGAAAACGGCCACACAATGGCCCTTAAAGTCGCACACATAGAAATCGTTGTCTGCAGCAGCACAACAAGAAGAAATATTAATATCTATTCAACATTGGAAAAGGAAAACTAGAACATACCGCGTATGGCTATATCAGATGGTTCACGCATATAGTCGCTGCAATCGAACCAACGCACCAATTCACCCTCCTCGGAGATCACAAAAACAGTGGGCGAAACGCTATCGACGGCAACAATATGGCCCTTGGCGGTGACCGCTAATCCAGCCACAATATCGATGTATCTGCAAAGGTGGAATATAGTATAGTATGTATGTGAAAGACCTCAAAAATATGCCAATCTCTCCACATACCTTATGGCTATCTTACGCATGAAGTGGCCGCACTTGGAAAATATTTGCATACGGGAGCGCTCATTGCCGCGATCACAAACCACGAATTTTCCATTGTTGTGCATGACAGCCACCTTGCGGGGATACCAGAGTTGGCCCTCCTCCTTGCCGGCGACACCGAACTGAAACTTAAGAGCACCCATCTTATCGAACACCTCGATGCGATGATTATTCGTATCGGCGACAATGATTTCCTCATCCACGCCCAGACAAAAGCCATGCGGTGAATTGAATTGACCTTTCGCTGTGCCCAGAGAGCCAAATTTGCAGCGTATTTGCATCGGTGTGGCTTTGTTGCGACCGGTAACAACACTGGTGGTGCCCGGTGGTGCTACAGCATGGAAATTATTAAGGCCCATATCCTCGACACCACCTACAATCGGATTGAGAGTCTGTAGATTGGGCGATGTGGCCGCCGGCATACAGAAATCTGTCAAAATACAATCAATGCACGATGAGCCGTCATCGTTATTGAGGTCGTCTGTGGTTTAGTGGTGAGTGGTTGTTGGGTGGTGTGTTGTGTTGTCATGATTGTTGAAGGAAGAAGTCGTTGTTGTTGTCGTCGTTGTCGTTTGGGTGTTGAATTTTGTGGTTACAAAAATATATATAAAAGAATAAATAAATAAAATAACGAACAAAATAAAAAATAAATCATACATTTCAAATAAAAACCACAAAAATATAAGTTCTTACTTCGGCATGCCGAATAATATATATAGTATGTATTTTAGAGTCACATTATCTTCCATACAATAATCTAGATTAGCTTTATAATCATTAATGGTTAAGTATACTAGGCTAAGCAACTTTAAAATATGACAATCCTATCTTTAATAACAGCATAATTGTCTCAAGAGTTGCATATTTGTATTTCAAGAAACAAACTTATTAATGAAATATTAAGCAATTATATCACTCACTAGAGTTTATTTCCAAAAGAACTCTAACTACTGGAAAATCGAAAACTGACCTAAAACTTACTGAAAGCACAATTAGGAACGAGAACAAAAAAGATTAAAGCAATCATTTTTGCATATCCCGTTCGAATGAAGTATTTACCCATTTGGTGGATAAATTTTTCAATATACATTTCATTTATTGGAAGGGATATTAAAAATCATACTTAATATCTTTCCAAAGATAGAAAGAGAGTTCTTAACATGTTTACTCACAGAAATCATTACTGAACTGTTGACCAATTCAAAAATATGTGGACCCCAATTTTCACCTATTTTAATCGAGAATTTGTACAAATTTGTACAAGAGCATTCAATATATGAAAATAATATTGCTATGATTTATTGCGTATAAGGGTGTTCAGAAACTATAGAAAAATAAATTAATTTTCACGTCAATAATTAACAGATTATTTTCCCATAACAACGCTGATTAGCTTTCGCTTTTAGGTAAAAATGATTTCCCACCATTAGAGTATTGATCGGACTTTTCACCCACTTTGGAGTCGAAATTTGCAAATGAACTTTTGATTATCTTTAATTTATACTTTGTAGAAGATATATATATTATATAAAGAATACCAGAATGTTGCTGAACAGTAAACTTTGATAGTATTTACACCCACATTGAAGTCGAATTGTTCACTAATTAAAATGTTCAATCTGTTAGCTAGTCAGTGAGGACAAATAGATTTATATACAACTCAAGAGGTTGTGGAGTATGTATCCAAACGGTGACTAATCAGCTTTAAAAAAGCTACAGATTTAAATTTATTTTCTACTCACCATTATTGTTAAGGCCGAGCTTGGCCAGAGCCTGCAGATTGTTGAGCGCTCGCTGGTCACCGGATAGTATGTCGGCCAGTGTAATCGGTTGTGTGGGCGTAACTGCCGAGGCCGGCATGACAGCATTCTGATGATGAGCGGCAGTACCGCTGTTGGCCACCTGATTGGGACTGCCGACGGCGAGGGCATCGTTCAGTGTATCAGGGATGGAGTTCTCATTGAGACTGGCCAGACGGGACAAATTATACTCAAGCATGCTGAATGGAGGCGGCGGACCACCGACAGAATTGCTACCATTGATGGCCAGCGCACCATTCATGCCACTGCCGCCCATATTGGCCAGATTGTTGAGCCCGTTGAGGCCAGATATGCCAGCAGTATTGCCGGAAGCAGCGGCAGCGGCTGCTGCAGCCGCAACAGCAGCGGCCGGATGCAGCGCACCCGCCTGCCCAGTCTGAAGATTAACGTGTCCAGCTTGCTGCTGGACCTGTACAATGCCCTGGGCGGTCACGATTTGTGCAATTTGTTGTGGCACCGGCTGCTGTTGTGGCTGTTGTTGCACGGTAAGTGGGCCACCAGCATGGGATTGCAATGCCTGCTGCTGTTGCTGTTGTTGCTGCTGCTGGTGTTGTTGTTGCTGCTGATGCTTTTGTTGTTGGACTTGCTGCTGTTGTTGCTGATGTTGTTGCTGCTGTTGGTGTTGCTGCTTCTGCAGTGCCTGAACTTGAGGGTGGGCCTGTGCCGGCACCTGCTGCGGCTGCGGTATGGAGGGCTGTGGCTGTACCTGCGGCATCTGTGCCTGCTGCGGCGAATCTGGTGGCAATGTGCTCATCATGGAGTAGTTGGTCATAACTGACGTGTCACCGTCAAAGGAGCTCTGCAGCGATGAGGGCAACGAGATGGGACTGAAGCCGGCGGCCGAACTGAGACGACCTTGTACTGAATTGTTGCCCCCGGAGGCGGACGACGCTGCTGCCGCCGCTGCACTAGCAGCACTGCGGTTTAAAAGTAAACCACTATGCGCCAGATTCGGTGGCAGATTCGGCGGTAGTTGGTACTCCTTTTGTATTACGGCCTCAGTGCGAAATTTTCCAAACACATCGCGCGCAAATTGTTCAAATTTCTCTGGTTTCGTGTCGAACTCAAGCATATAGTTGACATCGCAACGGGGCGTGTGTTCCATCAGATATTGACACTGGGAACTAATGACTGGTTTCATGAGCAGAAACTCAACGGCATTGGCCTTGTCAACGGCACGCTGACCAAATTTTGCAGCATCCTCCAGCCGGCCCATATTGTTCTCCAATCCCTGCATCATATCCATAATCTTGAGCTCCCGTTCCGAATGAAGACGACCCAGCTCGGTCAGCAATTCATCTCGTATGGTCTCCAGCAATCGTTTATAGTTAACATACGCTTCATCGATCTGTTGACGGACGTTGTCGTGTTGGCTCTGCAGTTCCGTTAAAGCACTGGTTAGGTTGGAGCCGGCATCGTTACAATAAAGAGCCTTCTTCATTGTTTCACGGATCGTCTGCTCCATATCGGCGCGCACTGATTGCTCGGCCACACAGGCCGTATCATAGTGGTGATCGTTCCCTTTATGCTCGCTAAGCAAGCAATCATTGCAGGTGGGAACCTGGCAGGTGAAGCAGTAGTATTTGAGATTCTCATTGATGTGCGTGCGGCAGCAGATGGGTTTGTGTATGATTAGCTTATCCTGCACATTCTTCTGCAGATCCTCGATGCGCACCACCTGATGATTTTCGAAACAACACATATATTTGTGGGCATTATCGCAGCCGTTGCACAAAAAATTAGCGCAATCATTGCAACGGGAAATGGCATCCTCCTTGCTCTTGCACGATGTGCAGGGTATATGCTCCGATTCCAGATTCGATAGGTCAAGTATGTTTGTTAAAATGTAGTCACAGGTCAGACCCTTAATGCCACGCGGCCCCAGCTGTGTTGGTTGCTTGCAAGCAGGACACTCTAGCAAACTGGAAGCGCCTCCATTTCCGTTACATCCATTACCTGTCGATGCTGTTGAATGCAAACGCTGTTGATGCTCACTGCCATCGAATGAGGCCGACGAGGCGGCCGAGGAGAGCGAAGCAGCCGGCGAATTGGAGCCGCGCGTTCCATGCCCCATCATTGCATCCTTGGCCAGCAAGCTCTGTAGACAGTCTTCGCAGAAGACGTGCAGGCACGCGAGTATGCGCGGCATAACCAAACGAGAGCTTAAACAAAATATCAAATATAATATTAATATTTAGCAATTAGACTCCAATAAACCGTTATTTTTCGAAACAGTTAACACCAACAAAATGTAAATCCTTTTTTATTTCTGTAACTTACAAAATCGCTTATTAATTGAACATTTTAGAAAACTTCCCTTCAAAACTAAAAAAAGTTATTAAAAAAAACATGAAATGAATTAATTTAATTAAATAATAAATATTCAATCCAATCCAGAGGGTAAAAGGCTATACTAGTTTTGTGCGAATTTGAGTTTTTTTTTTCATTTTCCTTTTTTGTGGAGAGTACAGGGTATTTAAAAGAAGCTCGCTCGACTTTAGCGTTCTGTCTTGTTTTTAATTCAAACAATAACATGTTTTTATACTTTCAATTAAACAAATTAATATTTTACATGCGATTATAGTCAAACTTGGTTTTTGTATTCTAAGTAACAATACTGCATTTGCAGTTTTTTTTAACTTTTCTTGGGCTTTCCTGTAGAATATACATATGTTTATGTATTTAGCTGCTCATTTGATTTTATTCTAGCGTTTAAAAAGTTGTATTTCGAAAACTCAAAAAGAAACTTCTGAAAAACAAAGTTGTAAGAGTTTCTAGAATCTTCAACATTTCCAAATTGATAAATGAATTTCAAACTTTCTTTATCATTAATATCATGAAAAATATTCCCACTATCAAATTTAATATATTACTTTTCTTCCATTCCTAAATTACGCTATGCAGTTGGTTTTCTTTTTTTTTTTTTAATACATGTGCTGTGGAAAAGTTGATGAAAATATTTAAAGAGAAAACTAAATTGTTATCGACCAGATGGAAATATTTGTGACTGGAATAAATGAGCTTGAATTCGAAAATAAATCATATTTAATGGCAATAGATTCGTGTAACAACCCTTCAATGCATCGCCGAGTGTTGTGTTTACAGTTATCTCTAGTTAATTAATGGTCCACTCACTTGCATAGTTTGCACAGCTTATCGGCATCCTTAATGGATGCGCACGAGTCCTCCAGCGAGTCCAGCTCAGTGGCGCTCTTTCCATCGAATGTATGATTTAATTCCTGGCTGCAGCTGCTGCTATCGACATCGATCACCAAACCTAGGCCCGATGAGGTCGAATTAGCCGTCGATGGTGCCGTTGAGACAGATGAGGTAATCGATGCGGCAGATCCAATGCTAGATGATGAAACATTGGCCACATCGATGCTGCCCACCGTGCTCCCCTTGCCCGTATCGGAGTCTATTGCCGAGGATGAATTGCTGCTGGTGCTGCTTGTGCTGCTCGTATTGCTCAAATCGGAATCCTCGAGGAGCACCGAAGACGATGTTGAATCGTCGCATAGCGTTGTCAAAGAAGTTCGATGCTGCTGCGGCAGTTGTTGTTGTTGTTGCTGCTGCTGCGGCTGCTGCTCTTCTGCTTGAGAAGCCGCCAATTTGCTAACGCCAATGTTGACGCCGCCGCCAGCAGCGCTGGCGTGTTCATCCATTGTGGTCATTTCGCCAATTGTTGGCACTCGCAGCGTTTATTTGTTTGTCTCAAACAACAACCAACAATTAATAATAATATTAACAACAGCAAATTGTATATCGACTGCGGCTCTGACTGTGGCTCTGCTTTCTTTACTTCTTTCTTCTTATTTGTTGTTATTCTTGCTCTCAATTACTATTCTTCTCGTTCTTCTTTTCTTTACTATTGCGGTTTTCGTTGTGCGAGTAGTGAGTTGACTGTTGATCGGTTGTGTGTGAGACTATATGTGTGTGTGTGTGAATGTAGATGTGATTTTCTTATTATTTTGTGAGTTGGTGTGGTGGGAAAATTCGTTGAAACTGTCGCTGATTTAGTCGCTTGCCAACAATTATAACGGGACAATGGACAAAAACAATTTGTGGTTGTATGCGTGTGTTGTATTGCAATTTTTAAAAATTATGCATGTACATTTATGTTTATACGACACATAATAATAATAATACCATGGAATTTTGAAGCTCGCTGATTTTTTTCTGCCAGCGTCTGCGACCGCGGCTCGCTCTCACTTTTCTGTGTTTTTTATTGTTTGTTTGTTTTTTCCCCTCCTTTTTACTTATTCTCTTAAAACTTTTCAATACTTTATGCTTACGCTAATAATAATTTTGTTGTTGTTTTGGTTTGGTTCTGTTGTATTATTTATTGCGTTTAGTTTTGTATTCCACTTTATTATTATCCTCGTTGCATTGTTTGCGATACTGCTGTCGTTATCATTTCAAAAGTAACTGTTGAGTTTGTCTGTTGAGTGTTCTTGTTGTTGTTGTTTTTTTGGTGTTTTTTATGCCACAAGCAATTTTGAATGATGCTCTTCTCTCAACGTACAGCAAACAACAACCGCTTGTGACGATTATATTATTACAATAATAATAATAATAATTACAGACCACACATACGTTTATTATTATCGCTCCTCCTGCTTCGTCGCTCCCGCGCTCTCACACACATATACAAGCAAAATATAACTGCGACTCTATCTGCATTCTTTTATTCTTCGTCAAACGAAGAGGCCAAAAATATCAAATTTTTGTTGTTTGTTGCTGCTGCTTTTGATTTTGATCAAAAATCCTGGACTAGAAGATAATTCGCTGTCGCTTCTCGCTGCTTTGCCACTTACTGTTGTTGTTGTTCCTGTTCTTGCAGTTGTTGCTCTCTTTGTTAATTTTGCTTCTGCTGCTGGAGGTCTTTATACTTTTGTGTGGGCTCGCAATCCGATTTAATAATAAGTGATGACCCTGACATAGACGACGACGAAAAAACGACGACGAAAACGCTCTACGCGAAATTTTTTTTTAAAAAAGATTGAAAATATAATTTTGTTAAAAAAGGTGCACGTGTTTTAGTTTGTTAATGTTTTTAAATTTTTTGCAAACAAAAAAATACAGTAAAAAATAACGATATATAAACTTTTTGCCAATCTGGCAACGCTGTAAAAAACTTGCAATTGCTTAAAATAGAACGGAACGACTAACGACTACTATTACTATTACAACTACATAACCCCTAAGACCGAATCCCTAAGCCGAAATGCACGCGCAAACGAATTTCCTAATCCCTAAAAATATATATACGTAAATATTTACATATATATGTCTAAAAATAAACAGAAATAACTAAATGTTTCGAACGAATGCAAATGTTTTGAATACTAAGTAAATGATAAAATGTTTGGGAAAGGGGAGGCATTCATACATACATATTCACACATACAGTGTATATCGGCTAATGGCTGTAACTAATTACATTCATATTATATATAAATACATATTCGTATATTAACAGTTAGGAGAAGGATATATGATCATTTTCATTTCTTTTATATAAGTTGTGAAAGTTGTGTTGGCGTAAGCGCAACTCTTACTGGAATATGAAATTTCATTTTTAATACGATTGGAACAATCTTTAAAAAGGTCCTTCACATAATAATGTCATTATTGTATTTTCATTCGATCAATTTTTTCGTAACCAAAATTGGCTTGCTCAAATACTGTGATTACTTTTTTTCACCATTACTATTTATTTATATTTAAATTATTTGATTTAAATATATATATACATATATATCCTTATAAGACCATGCGACTGTTTCACAAAGCTGATATTTACTGTATGTATGTATTTACTTATGTTTGTGCTCAAAAGTTCCCCCCTTCTTGAGTTGTTGTATTGAACAGGTAGGACGCCAAGGCTTATGCAATAGGAGCAGTTTCCTACGCACGTACACACATACGCAAGCTCTTTTATTTGTTGATAGGAAATGAATACTTTTAGGCATTTCCAAAAATGTTACCAACAAGCCGTCGCCCCCAAACCAGACACTAATGGTATTCCAGTGTACATTTAACAATTTACGTTGAAGACGCGTGCCATTAGAGCCGTTAGCGGACGACGACGACGACCGACCACTTGAGCCAGTCCCAAGTAAACGCCCAATACTGTCACATTCATACACAGACACACAAATACATGCAAGCACACATACAAACATACGCGTGGCGCAAAAACGAACGAGAGCGGTGCAGGCTGGACGACGACAGCAGCTGGAGCAGAGTAATAGCTTTACAACACTACATTAGAGGTGGACTTAGGACTGTTTATTTTACAGCGCGGCACGACACAAAGCGAAATTCTTTCATACATTTATAATGGTGCACGTTTTATTACTATTTCAAACAATTTTTTATTTATTATTTAGTGGGAGAAACGCATTTTTATGTCTAAGACTCCAACTAAATTTAAAATAAAAGAAATAAATATATATTTTCCCCATCGGTTCCCCATTAAGCGGTTAGCTTAATTCATGCTAATATAATTGACCAGACTTAATTCTTTCTTTCTTACCTCGCTCAGAGGTTTTTAATAACTATGTACACAATTCTCCACACAAATTTAATTTAGTAGTCAGAATCTTTCCTTTTTCTCTTTTTAAAATGTTTTTTTTTATTTTAATTTTTATTTTTATAAATCACTTTTTTCAAAACCTAATAAATTGTTCTATACGTGTATATGAAGAGAAGTTTTCATTGAATTTTGAAAATTTTACGAGTCCATCTTTGAAAAAATAACGAACGAGAGGCGCGTGCGCCGACGCCTGCGTAGCAATAACAGCCGCAACGTTAGGCGTCGCTGCAAGCTTCGCCAATGTCATTTGCATAGGAGTAGTATTCAACAATTTGGCTATTTTTTTTTATTACCAAATTAATCGACGTTTCTGTTGCCAAGTGTCGTCACCGTCGCTGCACATGGTTTGTCTCACACGCCCACATTTGTTGTCTGTCTATATACGCCTCCCCCCCCCCCCCCCCCACCATACGTCATGACCGCCCGCCCACCACACGACCACATTTGGAGCTTGAGCCAGCAAGGACATTACACGAAAATCCTTGAACAAATTTTTAAAACGTTTTGGATGCATAGACGCCTATTTTTCGCATGACCTGACAAGTGCAAGAGTGTATTGCTTTTGGTGTGACGGTCACTTAATCTCTGTTTCTTCCACACTTCTAGAACTATCGCGTTGAAACTATGCAACGAAGCTTCTATTTGACGTTGGAAAGATAAAAATGCCTGATCAGACTATAATAAAGCTGTCATACAAGTTACATGATTTAGAAAGATGAAACTTAATTGGATATTACGATATTATTTTTGGATTGAAGACGAAATGCGAAAAAAGAGTAACAAAATACTTTCCAATGAAATGAGAATTTAGATGGTATTTTATGTACACAGTTCGCAGACCATGATCAGGTAGGAATATTTGTAAATGTAAGAGTAATATAGCTTCGGAGCAGATGAAAATAATTTCTTTCCTCGCTTTTTGTTGGTTTTATTTTTTAGTGGGCAATTGAGAGGGGGTGTCATGGTGTCGTCTAACCTAAATGGCAGCCCAACAGCTGTGAGTTAGGCCACGGCCACACGCACGCACAGACACAGCCACGCGCACATGGATTTGTATCAGGATACAGCAACAGTGCGACTTACGCGGCTTTGTTAAGAAAAAGCAGAAATGTGATTTATTTTTTCCAGAAAAAATTGTAGATGTAGCGGAAATTCCACAAATTTAAGTACGATTAGGCAGGCCCCTAAACAAAATTCATGCATATGTATGCACATGTAAGTACTAATATAAATATATGTACATACATAATCGTCATTGCTATAGCTTTATGCAACAATGTAATAGAATAAGCTAAATGTAACACTCAACACACATACATACATATGTACTTACATACATACATGCAAACACACACGCTTCATCAGACACACGTGGTAGAGCCAAATCAAAACGTTTTGTTTACGCCTCGGACCAGACGTCAGGCGAGGAGATTGTTTTTGCAACACAACGCGAACTAAACACTAACCTCCTATCACGACTTTGTCAATTCTGTGGTACCGCTGCGCAGCTGTTTTTTTTTTTTTTCATTTCATTTCCTTGCGTACCGACATACTATTTTATTAAACGTAAAATTCTCACGCGACTCGTGGTAAAACGAGACTTGGTATAGCAATAAAACCTGCAACTTTTTTACTCTCACTGCGCAGATACCATTGCATGCAAGCCCTTACATGCATAAGTGCATACACTGATCTTGCACTAAATAAAATCATGTTCATAATCTGTCAACACAAAATACGTACGTTTTCGTACGAAAACTGTGTATGCATAAAGTCGAGTTAAAACTACTTCAATTTAACATAATTGCCACGCAATGGCGTATTGTGACGTCGCATGAAGAGAACACTGAATAACAGATCTGCGCAAAGTTATACCTTCTAGCTACTTTGTACCATGCACGCGACCCACCGTTCCGTCTCTCACTCTCCTCCTTCACCAACTCATCAAAATCCTAGTCAATCGCGACAGTTATTTTGAGCGAGAGAGCTTGCGAGTGCGCATACTCATTCTCGCGGCAAAAATAAAATAAAATATCAGCCGCTGCCACACTCACACGCACACACAATTGCAGACCAACGACGAATCGTTGAAAATTTAATTTCTTTTGAAATATATGAAATTCTATTTTAAAACGCGCTCTTTTTTACACTATTTATGTGCATATTACAAACATTTCGCGCTGCAAATAAAATTAATGTGCTTGTGTTCTGATGCTTTTATTCTAACTGCCCAATTGGTGTTGTTGTTGCTGTTGTTATGGCACACACAAATCATTTGCTTTTAGATTATGGTACTTTCGACCATTATTATTCGATCCTAGAGCACACTTCGAGAATGTCTGCATGTATGTACATACATATGTATGTACGTATTTTTTGGCTTAGTGTCTTTCGAAATTGCTAGAGGGGGAGCTGGGATCCAATTTGGCACTAGGGGTCACCTCATTCACTGTTATAAACCTGTCCTTGAACGCAAATTTCCACTTGAATGTGCTGCTGGCTGGGCAACGACATACAACAACAATAACAGTTATCCTTACGTATTGCAGGAGATTCGCTCCCACCCACGATACCTCTACTAACGACACACTGCATTTTGCAATAGCCCTCTTATTACTTTATTGCATTTCTATAGATTTGTTGGTACCGACCTTTTAATAAATTTTTTACACGTTTTTTTCTGCTAGTTACGATTTAAATTTTTTCGTCGCGCACACACACACAACCACGCACAGCAATAGTGGCCGTTGCCTGCAAAAAAGTTCAACAAAAAAAGCAAGCACCGCTCTTGCGCTCTTCAGCTCTCTCGCTCTTTCCCTCTATAGTACTGCTGATTTTTGCAGCAAATTTTCTTCCTCTTGCAGGTTAAGGCTGCTGCTCTACCTACATTTCTACTTTTCGCACATGATACGTTTATATGTATATGCCTACATCATACATAGGTATATATGTATGCATGTACGTAGATATGTAGTTAAAACTAAAAACGTTCCACGCCGTATAGCATTTGCAAGTTCTTTGTTTAGAATTACAGTTACAAACGCACGCTTACCTTTGCCATTACACATTTAAATTTAATTATTGTATAGTAAACTTCTTCACTTTATTTGGAATGGCAAACGCAGACTACACACACACAAAAAGTCACGACGGCGACTGCGAGTCGAGCGCAACGAGCAGCACACAATAACACTCGGTCCACTCAAGTGAGCGAATGAAAGAGAGAGGGCCGCGCAATAGTTCTTGATGGCCCAGCCAGCAGAGTTTAGATGCGAGACAGTGTTGTGTAAACCAGTGTTATGTAAAGTGTAAAGCCAACAGTTCATTTAATTTTGAAGTATGTATTTATGAACTTTTATTAACAAATAGCTACTTTATTGGCAGCGTTTTAGTTATACTGTTATACATAAAATGTACAAGAGTATATTAGGTTTGCACGAGCTGAAAAATGTAACAGACAAAAAGATGCGTGGAAGACCCCACAAAGTAAGCTCGCGCTCATAAAAAAAGCCGAGTAATTTTTTGACACATACAAGTATGTACGTTTTTCTTTTGAATTTGTCGCGAAGAACAGTTATGTAACGGTACTTTGTAAGGTTGTTCTTTGGGTTAGAATTAGAGAATTGTGTGCTTAAATAAGTCAATTTGCAATCTGAGCAAGTAATGGGTAACGTAAATCATCTTTATGGAGATTTTAGGTACAATATAAAAAAACCGAGAGGGCACCAGCCTGGTAGCAACAGGACAGGAATTTAGTCCGAATATTTCTTCGTAACCGTTTTAAACCGGCTCCAGATATTGCAGCAGAACTTAAAGATACCAGTCACTTTGAATTAGCTGTTTAATAAACTGTCAAATGGCATTTAAAGAAAAATAATTTGAAGGCCACACGAACTGGAAGGTATTATCAACTCTGCAACATGTGTGGAAATAATAGAAATGGGTGTTTTGCGTACAATCGAGGTTCTAACTGAACACGTTTAAAAAGGGTTTTTTCAAGACGATTGTGCACCATACCCTCATTCGAAATCGGTAAAAACTGCGTGGACATATTCAAACGTGGACCTTTTCATTCAATTTTTCCAAAGATTTTATCATTAATTAACTATTTTTCTTGGCGTAGGTAATAGAATATAAAGATATATTAGGAATAGAGTCCCTTTCTTGGCCTGGAAACAGCCCAAACCTCAACCCTATAATAAAACCTTTTAAAATAAAAATATTATTTGCAGAACTCAAAAATCTCTTAAGTCATTTCAATAATATATAATTTCAATATACTTAATATTAACGTTTGAGTGAAATTTTTAAATATTATTAGAATATTTTTTGCAATGAACATGATGACAGCATTGCAAAATAAAATCGGCTTTTTTTATGAGCGCGAGTGTATATATATTCTTGATCAGTATGACAATAGGAGTCGATCTATGTCTGTCTGTCTGACCGTATGAACACCTGGACCCAGAGACTGTAAGAGCTAGAGACACCATATAAACTCGATTAAAAACGGATCTTCAGAACAGACAATTTCGGACGAAAATGGAATGATTTAGTTTATTGGAGGAGATGGTGTTATCGGTGAACGGAAACTTACGTACCTTATTGTTGACGGCATTCTGCTAATTGCATGTTTCGTCTATGTTTCTGCCTCGCCTGGTGTCTCATCAAACTATATTCGGATGGATATAATAGCCTCTGGCATAATGGGCAGTATGCTTCATTATTTCCCGTTCTTTGCAGCCACCTGGGAAAAAGTATTAGCCAATGAGGCTCAAACCTTGGGCGTCGTGGTGCTGCAGTTGGTGTGGGTGTGGGTCCTGGTGTGGATGGGGGTCCTAGTGTGGGCGTTGGTGGGTGTGGGTGTTGGTGGGCGTGGGTCTTGGTGTGTGTGTGGGTCCTGGTGTGGGTGTGAGTCCTGGTGTGCTTCCTGGAGTTGGTGCTGGTTTTTTTTTTCTCGTTATTTGCCATTTTAAACTTTTTTTTATAGATTTCTTTTCCGTTAAACTTGTGCGTTCCTATAATGAAATAAAGTAAATGAAAATATATTTTACTGTCAATTAAAATATCATGAGCTGCTGAGAACATAAAAATTGACATTTTTTTACGCACACACATTATTCGTTCAGTTGATGTTTTCTATAATATTTTAAATGAAAAAATCATTTACTTTTTAATATATTGTAGACCCCACAGATGCCCTGTGTGTACGCTATACGAGTTTGTTTTATTTTGTTGATACGCCCCCATAGAGTATTTCAAATTCGGGACACCCGCCTTTAGCTTCTCCACTCTGCGAAAATGGAAATAAACATGTCCGGCTCTGTACTACTGTGCAAACAATTTTCAAAGAAATAAACGCCGAGTACACCGAGAAGGTGGTTGAAAATGGAGTGCACATTCCTAAACTATGCAATCGCCTAGGGAGCAAAGGTAAATTGTGTGACAGTGCTGCATAAGACCAACTCTGATCCGTAGTATTCAAACATTTATATTGACAATTAACAGCATAATTGACAGAATTTTAATTGTTTTTTTTTTTTTTTATTTGTATGAATGTTTTCAGTATTTTGAAACTAAATACAAGCTTAAATATCACGCCTAACATTTATTTTTTTTAAATGGAACAGCTGTCTTATGGCCGTAGTTAGTCAACACTACTTGTCAATTAGAGCTGACACGGCGAGAAATAAGAAGCACCATCGCACGTTGTGTGCGGCAAATTCTGTGGAAACGTAAGCTAAAAAAGTTAGAAATAAATATGTCCAGCTCCGCGCCGATGGATGGCGAAGAGACGCCAGCGTCTGCGCAACCAATTTTTAAAGAAATCAACGCCGATCAGACGGACGAAGTTGTCGAAATTGAATCCGCATGTCTGAGTTGCTTTAAGACAGGCACTACTCGGCTCCTGCCCACGAAAATACCGTTCTTCCGTGAAGTTGTGCTTATGTCTTTCAAATGCGACCACTGTGGCGCCACGAACAACGAACTGCAATCGGCATCGGAGATACAAAAATCCGGCATACGCATTGAGTTATTGGTAAAGAGTGTGTCGGACCTGAATCGGCGCGTGGTGCGCTCCGACTTTTCTAGTTTGACGATACCCGAGGTGGAGCTTGAGATACCGGTGCAGTCACAAAAGGGTGAAGTCACGACAGTGGAAGGTATTATTGAACGTACAATTACCGGATTGTCACAGGATCAGGAGAAACGGCGCATAGATCATCCCACGGAAGCAGCGTCTATTGATGCATACATTGAGCGTTTGCGGAAGCTGAAGGAGATGGAGGTGCCCTTTCATCTGCAACTAGAGGATATATCCGGCAATAGTTTCATTGAAAACCCATTCGGGCTTACCACAGATCCCCAGCTGAAGACAAAACATTTTACGCGCACAAAAGAGCAAAATGAGCAATTGGGTAAGTCATCCATAGATACTAAGTACATTCCATAATATTATGATGCGAACAATGTTCTTTACAGGGCTCTATGAACAGAATCACGAAGATTCTCACTTGCTAAAGCCCATTGCCGAGGATGAGTGGCCCATTGAGAACTTACACGGAGAGGTGTTGCAGTTCAAAACGAATTGTCCAAACTGTAATGCTCCATGTGAGACCAACATGAAGCTGACGAATATACCCCACTTCAAGGAAGTCGTCATTATGGCCACAGTATGCGGCAGCTGTGGTCACAAGACGAACGAGGTGAAGTCGGGCGGCGGCATTGAGCCGCAGGGTGTGCGATTCAAGGTCCGCATTGTCGACAAGGAGGATCTGACACGCGATGTACTTAAGTCGGAGACGTGCAGCCTCTCAATACCTGAACTGGATCTGGATGTTGGCCCGCATGCCCTGTGCGGCCGCTTTACCACCGTCGAAGGTCTGCTGGTGGCCATGCGCGATCAGTTGGATGGCGCCTTTTTTCACGATTCGGCTGATGATACTTCCAAGACGCAGATGCATCGCTTTCTGGAAACTTTTGAGCTGGTTATGAAATTAGAGCACGTCATAACGCTAGTGCTGGACGATCCCGCTGGAAATACATATGTCCAATCACTCAGCGATGACGATGCTGAGCCAGATAATAGACTGGAGGTTGAAAAGTACGATCGCACATTCGAACACAATGAGGAATTGGGCCTGAACGATATGAAAACCGAGAACTACGAGGAGGCCACGTGATAAAGTGTTATACGAGAATTCCTAGCATTACCTTACACAACAGGCATTTAAATACACATGTATACAATAAATATGGAAATTAATGCCAAGGATCTACTGGCACATAAAAGTTATCGCCAGTGAAATATCTCACAAAAGGTAAACAAACTTATTGTTTTATAATTTTGAATAGAAACTAAGCAATGTACTAAACTTTCCCTCTTTTTTAATTGATTTGGTCGAATCTGAATTTGATCGAATACTTACACATCAGCAGATTAGTGAAATAAAACTAATTTACAGATAAAATAGCATTTATAAGTGTGTAAATTTGCTGCAATTTTGTGTTCAAAAAAAAGATAAAGATTATTTTATTTGTGAAGCTTTGGAATTGTGAACAGCATCTATTGACGAATTTCTGTAGTGTGGAAAGAGGAAGGAAAAACAAGGACGCTTTATTAAGAGATTAGATAAGTTTAGTCAATGCAGGTTAGATCCGTCATACAGACGGACATAGCATAATAATGTTTATGGGGTCTGCCACATTGTCCTTCAGTTTAAGTTTGGCCAAATTTTTAGAATGAAAAAAAAAAACAGTTTTTGACGGAAAGAAGAGCGAAGAGCGGGAAGAGTTCCACCAGTAGTCCGACACCCCCTGCTCGATCTTCGTAGTCGTCCAGCGTGCACTCCAACGTACGAATGCTGGAAAAACTATGCTTCCTCCATGGTCGCAAGTGTTCCAATTTTCCATTGACAATGACCAGTTCCTGCACCGCTGAATTGATAATCTCCGACAGTTCCAGTAAATGCTCTGGACTTCGTTGCAGCTTTGTAAGATCGGGTCGTCGTTCAGTAAATCGTACACAATCGCCATCTAAAATGCAGTTTCGCAGCCTCTTTGTCCAAGAATACGATGAATTGAATAGTTTAGGCCACAGCAGTGTCCTAACTAACCACAACCGAAATGTAAACATTCTGCTGTACTGGTAGTACAGGGTATTTAAGAGTTGAGCCCTCTCTACTTTAGCATTCCTTTCTTGTTTTTTTTTTTTATCAATATTTTCCAATGATATCACTATTTTAGTCATCTTTATCTCATACTTTGTGGGGCCTGCCACGCCTCCTTCTGTGTGTTCCATGTACACTCGCACAAAACTAATATACCCTTTTACCCTTTGGGTACAGGGTGTAAAAATAATAAATATGCCACGTTTCCCTTATTTTTAAACATAAATGTTCGAAAAATTACAAAAAGTGTGAAAAAAACTAAATGTATTTTTAAAAAGCCAGAATTCCCGCTACCCGCAATTTCGAATTTTTCCCGCAACCAAATTTGAAGGGAAAAAACCAAATTGGCAACACTGTTCGGTGTTTCCAACATAGTGTGAAAGATGTTGAAAAACTTATGAACTTTGTGGAACATCTTACGTCTTATTTTTGCTGCAATAAGAAAACAATCATTTCATAATACCATGCAGATACCCTTCCATAGCCATTAGCCATTACTGCTTGTTAATTAATTTTATGCCGTTTTATTTCTGAGAACTTCTACTAATCACAATACACCAAAAACTCAACTTGCGTATAACATCATTGATTACTGGCTGAGGGCATGTGTGTAGAAAGTTTTATCCTCGATTCCACCACGTTTAATAACATGCGGAATTTGTTTGGGCACCATGCTGTGAAGCAATAAGAATCCAAATAAGTACCTATGTGAGGATGTTTACTTGTATATAAATCCTTACCGAATGCAGTCAATAATGGGACAGACGGATACGCAGAGCGTGCAACCGGTGCAGTCGTCGTTAATGTGCGGCAAATGGGTGTCCTTGTCGAACTCGATGGCCTGGTAGCCAGAGTCAGCGCAGGTCATGTAGCATTTGCCGCAATTGATGCACATGTCCTAGGGAGTATATAAATTATTGCTTAAGATGCTGATTACGATGGATATTAGAAACGAAACTACTTACGTCATCGATGAGCGCCACCTTCTGCTGCTTGTTGTCCAGCTCCTTATAGCTGCTAATGTAGGGTAGAGCGCGACCCACAACATCGGCCACTCTAGGCGCTTTATTAATGGCATTGGCTGGCACTACGTTGGCGGTTGCACTTTTCTCTGCATCCCAGAAGGCACCCTCCTTGCTGCGTATTTCGGCGAGCTTAATATCGCGTTGCTGCTGATAGGGACCAAAGAAACCAAGCGATTTATTACCCTCCCCGGTCAAGTGCACCACCGGCTTGCCCTTCTGATGCACTGGCGTTGGCGGCGACTGACCGTCCCAGAACTGTCCATTGACTGGCGGCGGATTGGCTTTCAAGTACAGCAGTGCCTTTAGACTGGTGCAGTAGTCATCGATGAGGGTGAAGTCCTGGTTTTGAACCGAGGAGCAAATCTGTACCACTGTGGCACCGGCTTGCAGAAATTGAAGTGCCACCTCACCGGAATCGATGCCGCCAATGCCGAGTATGGCAAAGTCCGGAACCTTGCGAGCTATCTCGGAGACAGCACGTAAACCAATTGGTCGTGTCGCATTGCCAGACACACCGCCGTATGTCGTTTTCTGCTCTTTGCCCACGGCTGGCCATGGCGTGCCATCTGCTTTAAGGCTCATCAGTCCTTGGACCGTATTAATGGCTGAACCACCGTCGGCACCACCACGTTTGGCCGCCTGGGCAATGGACACAATATCCGTAATGTTCGGTGTCAGTTTGATGAAGAAAGGCACCTTGACGGCCTTGCGCACCCATCGAGAAATATCCTCGACAAGTTGGGGATCTTGACCACAGGCCAAACCCATGCCGGACTCACCCATGCCGTGGGGACAAGACAAATTCAGCTCCAGGGCATCGGCGCCAGACTGTTCCGCCTTGGTGGCTAACTCGGTCCAATCCGCCTCGTTATAGCTGCACATAATGCTTGCAATGATGATCTTTTCGGGAAAATCGCGCTTTAGCTCGCCAATGGAACGGCACCAGTATTCGGCACACTTTTCCGAAATCAATTCGATGTTCAAAAAGCAATTCTGTTGCGGTCCATGCCTATAGCCGGAGGTGGTGCCGCGCACGATGCGCGGCGACACATTGGTAACCATGTCCTTGTCCAGGCCAAATGTCTTAGTGACCACAAATCCCCAGCCTTGCTCAAAAGCGCGTCGTATCATCGCCGCACTCGTTGTGGGTGGGGCTGAAGCCAGGCCGAAGGGGTTTTCGAACTTAAGGCCGCACATCTCCACCGATATGTCCACATTGTCGATTTCGGTATGGAACAAAGGTAGTTCGGCAGGCGTGTCCAGCGGTAATTCTTGCAATTGACAGTGAATGCTCCAGGCAGCCACCTTGCCATCATTCACCGACTCCACTGTGGTGTTGGCCACACCGGCCAAATCACCTCCGCAAAAAACTCGCGGATCACTGCTCTGCAGAGTCGCACGATCTACAATGGGCAGTTCGCCTCGGAAGTTCAATGGGGCCATAGCTTCACGTACGTCTTTGTCGGACAACCCCGACCCGAAGGCCGAGATAACAAAGTTGGCCTTCAGACGCGTCGTTTGTTCTTCATCCTCTATCCACTCGTCCTTCTCGTTCTGTTCGGTGCGGCAAAACTCTACTGCTGTGATCTAAAATGAAACATAATGCTTACATGACAAAGAGATGTCGCTATTTGATTGGCACGCACCTTATTTTCATCGTTAACAATAACCTTACGGGGCGTCAAGTAGGGCATCAGCTCGCAACGCTCTTCACGTGCAAGCTCCACCTCCTCGGGCACGGCACGTACACCCGTCGTGCCCTTGCGAAAGACAACATAGACACGTCGGGCACCGCAGCGTAGAGCAGAGGTGGCGCAGTCGAAGGCCGTGTCCCCGGCCCCCAGCACGATTACGTTGCCATAGAGTTTAGGCAATGCCTGCTGGGACTTGCAGGCACATAGCCCTGGCTTTGATCCATCAGATACCAGTGGCAAAAAGTTCTTGGAGGTATAGAAGCCTGCAGACACATCTAGACCATCGAAGATTGGGTCCAACTTAGGTTCCGGCAGACCAATGCCTATAAAGACGGCATCGTGACCGGAGCCTAGAAGACCCTAATAACGCAGCAACAAAAAAAGGAGATGAAAGAATTCAGGGACATTCCCCTCTAGGACGGACTCACCTTCACAGTTACGTCTTTGGTGCTAAGCGCTCGTCCCGTTTCAATCTTCACGCCAAGATCTTTAACTAGTCCAATCTCAAAATTAACCACATCGATGGGCAGGCGATATTGCGGAATTTCCGCAGAGCTCAGGCCTCCCAAATAACTACGTTTCTCATAGATGGTAATATCAGTGTAACCTAATCGAGCCAGGAAGGTGGCGCAAGACAACGAGGCCGGTCCACCGCCTAACAAAGCGATCTTCTTATTCGGCTTCGCCAATGGCTTCGCATCCGGTGAGACACACTGGCGCACTCCCATCTGCTTAAACACCTCCGTTGCAAACTGCTGCAGACCTCCAATATTTATGGGGCCCTCCTCGGAGGCTTGTAAATTGCAGCCACCCACACACAGGTCGCTAGTGGGACAGACCATGCCGCAGGTAAGGCCCAAGGGGTTGTCCGAAAAAATTGCCTTCGCCGCTCCGTAGAAATTTTTATTGGAAATGCTCGTAATAAAGCTCTTGATGTCCAGTTGTGTGGGACACGATTTCTGACAGGGCGCATCGACGCACTTCAGACAACGTTGGGCCTCCAGGAGGGCTCCACGCTCCGACAAAGTAGTGTGCTTGATGTCCGCAAAGTTGTTGGAGAGCGTGGTGCAGGGCGTAGCCATATGATCGGCATTGCGCTTCCAGTGCTTCTTATTTACCTTCGTCTGTTGCGTAGGTAAGACGGTACATTGGGTCTTGACGCGTGGATTCAGCGACAGCAGATCCTGCAAGACGAATTAGTTAAGCTTAAGGAATACTAGGCGCAGGCTTGGACCAACCTCAATGTCGGGTGAATCTTTGCTAAGCAAAGCCGGTGGACTCATCGTGAAGGCTGTGTAGAGGGCTGGTCTCCTTAAACCTCAAAGCCTGTAAAGAGTAAGGGGAGACAGTCGAATAACATTCTAGGTTCATTGAGTGATATCACTATTCGAAGATGTTGTTTCTAAAAAACAGAACAAGAGATAACGCTACAGTTGACCAAGCCCGACAGTGAAAAACCCTGTATCGGGACAAACTTCCGGCACTGAGTATGTATATGTATAAAAAAATAAAATGAACACGCATTAACTAGGAACAAGGAGCGTCTACATACCAAGTTTGGTTAATGATAGCTCATCCAGACGGATGGACGGACGGGCATGTCTAGTCTTTTTATACCCTGTACTCGTAGGGTAAAAAGGGTATATTAGGTTTGTGCAAAGTATGTAACATGCAGAAGGAAGCATCTCCGACCCCATAAAGTATATATATTCTTGATCAGCATGACGAGAGAAATCGATCTAGACATGTCCGTCCGTCTGTCCGTCCGTCTGTCCGTCTGGATGAACGCAAAGATCTCAGAAACTATAAAAGCTAGAATAACCAAAGTTGGCATCCAGATTCTTTTAGGTCCGAGTAAGGACGAGTTTATTTTATTTTTTTTAATTCCCCCCCCCCCCCCCCCCCCCCTTCCCCCGCTAAAGAATTTCGTCAATAGCGTCCACATTTCAAATGCTACCTAAACCAAACTTTGCACACATAATTTATATATAATTGTCTACTGTTGTTAAAAATTTTATTCAATTCGGTCAATTTTAAATAAAGTTATTAGCAAAACAAATTCTCGCCAGTACAACCCCCCCAAACTGTCGCAACAAGTTCGCTCTTCTTCTTCCTCTTTTTGCTGCTGCTATGGGCGCATATAACTCTGTGACGGAAGTTTACCTGGGTACAGGGTATTACACTGTCGGGCTTGCTCGACTGTAGCGTTCTCTCTTGTTATACCCTGTACTCGTAGGGTATACAAATGAAGCGCCTTATAGAATATGCGAGCAGCTCAAATACATACTTACAATAATCTTGCGTTCCTACTCGGGGATTCCCAATTCTATATTCAATGTATTTCTTAAAAGTTCTTCACATCTTTCTCAAGAAATTGATCGTACTTAATATTTTCCGGGTCTTAAAACTGCGCAATTCGAAACGGTTATCCGCCGCTTTAATGGCCACACACAAATTCTCATCTAATCGTTGAACGTGCGCCAATAAATTGAATTTATGGACAAGTGTTCACAAGTAAGGGCTTCGATTGTTTGTTTATACACATGTTTATATGTTGCTTACGGCCCGTTGGAAGGCGTTGACAACACGCCTTATCAGCGGTACTCAAAACTTCAGCTTCCTATCGGCTACACCTCCCCCTTCCTAGCCCACCGACACATGGACACACGCTCGCTTTTACAGCCATCGCGCATAACCCTGAGCACTACTGCTAAATATTGTAGCTGTGCGTATATATAGAACAGCAGTATCTACACTCATACATACATCATATATGGAGAGTATACACTACACATACATAGGTAGTATGTAAGTACGAGGGTATACTTGTATCTATCAGCTGCGTTGCATAGACGAGAGGACTGCGTATTGTACCTAATTAGGGCACAGTTCTCAGACTATATCAAAAGGGGGATTTCTCAAGAAAATAGGGATATGAAGAGAAGCAGAGTTTCTTTCTAGAATAATAATAGATTAATATAAACTGAGATTCTGTCCAGGGGGGACTCAAGTTGCTCTCCAGTTATGGTCTGCTGATCCAATGGTAACGACAAAACCTTGATGCTGAGAGTCGGCAACGTATAACCTACCAAGATATCTTATTGTAGGCCAGATAGTGAAGCAACGACTATTTGCAGAACGAATGAAAGATCACAGAGAGATTTAATATGATTAGAAATCGAGGAAAGGGAAAACCTCTTCTTTATGTTTTCCAATGTGCCTTTTTTTAAAAGAAAGAGTATGAGAGTAAAAATATAATACCTAACACAATTAGTTTTGATCAACCCTGGCGTGTATATACCGAGAGCGATACGTCCACCACACCCAGCTTATCAAGAACATCATACAAATAATGATGTAATGATATAATGTTTAAAAAGTAAATCGATTCAATGGAGAAGTACTTAATTTTTGTATTGAAGAAAAATTATTAATCGGCTCGAAACATATTTATACTATACAAAAAGTTAGGCCACGACAGTCCAAATTTGTTATTTAACTTATCAGCGGTATATATGTTTGTCTAAGTGCGGGATTTTGTTGGATTTTCGGCCGACTCCTTATCACTATCAGTCAAGGTTGTAGCGGTAGTTGTCGCTGCTGTTAGGCCATAGCCCCACATGTTTTGGACTAAAATACAAAAAGTACACGCATATGTACATGTGAACTATACAATACTATAATTAAGAGCTTTGCCCCCCACATGGATGGAAATGTGGCTGTTGTCGCAAAAAAAAAAAAAAAAAATTAATGATTGGCAAAACAGTTGATCTGACGTAACTATAATGTACCGTATAATGTACATTATATATAGGAAATTGATGTTGAAAAAATGTTTTGAATGAAAGCTTATGATGTTCTTGATAGTACTTTTTTCTTATTTGAGCTAAGAATATACTTTAGCTCTGAAATATAGTATATTATTATTTTTAAAATATTTGAATTCTTCTTCTTTGTATATTTTATGATTATTTCCCTAGCCTTCCTGTATTGAGCCCAAAGTATTAGTAAATGATTGGAATGACTTTTATGTCGGGAAATTTTTAACTCTTCACATTATACTGAAATACTCCTAAATATTTTCAACCGTTTTATGATCTAACTGCCTTCAAAAATAGGTAATATCTTATATTACACTCGAGATTCTTTATTTATTTACTTCATGAGCTTTATATTTCATGACCGGTTCGAACGTTTGTCCATCTGTCCGTCTATATGAGCATCAAGAAAATTAAAACCATATCAGCTAGGATCAGAAAGCTTTATACATAGACTTCTCTTATCCATACACCGATGAGGTTTAATTAAAACTATGTTTAGGCTCATTATATATAGTTGCCATAGGAACTATCGGAGTGGAAATAACCTTTAAGGAAATAGCTTTTTTGTTTTTTAAGAAGGTTTAGCATTTAACTACATTCAGAAGCTTCATTAGAATCGGTGCACTATATCGTATACCTGCCATAGAAATGATCGGTTTTAAAATCAATCTTAGTGTTTACAACTTTTCTGCTTATTTCTATATCGTTCTTGAAATGAGTATTTTTTTGCATCTAGTACAGTGTCTCAAAAATCTGAAGTTTCATCATAATCGGATAACTATATAATATAGCTACTTAGTACCTAAAAAACTTTTATGTTTTTCAAAACGTAAACAAATTTGGTCTTTATGAGTTTTTTCAATGCCCCACGACAATTAGAAATCACAAAATAAAAATCAAACAGCTATATAATATAATTGAAAAGTTTTAGCGGGAAAAAGAATGGGTACAGGGTATACAACAGTCGTTTTATTTCAATTAAAGCAATTATTAGACACGACCTGACCTATGCGAATGCGTCTTAAAGTCACGCACTCTCCCCCCACATCTCTTTAAATCCAATCAAGTCCAATTTTTGTTCATATTAACATCTAGTATACTCGTCTGTGTATATTTTTACATATGTATACTAAGTATATATACTTAAGCACTTACAATGTAACAAAAAAAAAAAAAAAAATTTATTGCTGCTTATGCATGGCAATTTTCTTGACACATGTGTGGCCTGTTGGTTTTGTAATTCTTCTTCTTCGTATTATTATTATTATTATTATTGAATGTAATGCGCAGTATTATTAACACATAGAATGTGAGACACACACCTATAGTATAAGAAACTATGAACTTTGTCACACTGATTCATATCCAACACATAATATGTATCTCTTTACAAATCATTTTTGTTTGTGTGAATCCTAATGCTGACTCATACTATAGTTTATTTAAATAAAGATTTGAAAGTGAAATCTCAAAAGCAATGTTTGCAATACTTCCCGCATATAATTTTGAAATATTCGGCAATCTTTTTCAACCATCAATATATGAATTTCTATAAAAACCTGATGATCAGGTTATAGGTAACGAATATAACATTTTACTGAAAAATGGAAGGAAGCAGTTTCAGCAACTTATAATAATATATGTATTATATTTTACATCCATATAATATCATTATTATTATTAATTTAATTTAGAAACACAATTTCAAACTTTAGGAGTACGTGCCTAAGCATATTATGGGATGGTTTAAGACCTTTCTATTTGTTTCCATTTGAATTGCGAAAGATTTCCCGAACTGGTGGTACGTCCGCGATGAGGAAGGGCTTTTGTGGGTGCGAGACTCATATTATGTATAAAACTCATAAACCATTTCTTATCCTCAACCAAAAAAAAATATATTAAAATTATTAAAATTAATTTGTATTATTATATTGGTTATCATTGTTTTTATTATTATTTTTTTTAAATTCTTATAATTTGTTTATGATATATTTTTATTTATTACTTTTTTATTATTTATTTCTATTTTTTTTGCTTGTATTTGTTACAAGTATTTATAATTATTTTTCTTATTTATTCATTTTTTTTATCATATATTTCCTACTAATTTTCATTATCATTTATTAATATTTATTTGTATTTATGAGCACTAACTATTTATTAATACTTCTATTTTTTATCATTTTTTATTTATTTATTAGTTGTATGTTTTGTTATTACTTATTATTTTTATTTATTAGTATTTTTTATTATTATTTTACTATTAATATTTATTATTTATTCAGAGCGCTAATATCGATGTATATTATTTTATTTTATTTCGTTTTTCTAATCAACAAGTACGGATATAACAGCCTCGTGAAGCTATGACTTTTTTATTGTACTTATTTATTGAATATTCTATGTATTATGAAATGTTTATATATGTACTTAAAACTAAAATATTAATTTACAAATTGGAATTAAATATATTTTTTTGCACCATTTCCAATGGGTATTCGGCCCACTGTGCAACAACAGCAAATGCCCTATTCAGTTAAGCATCAGCTGCTGTTATTATTGATAGCCCTCAGTGCGAGTTTCTTGCTCAGCTGTCGATATTTCTATACCCCTTGGGGTGTGGTCCCGGAATTCGATTCGATTCGATGCCACCAAGTGCGTGATTAGCGCAATTTTTTAATGCGATTATGATAACTTAATTAAACATACAAATTTGTAGATAAACTTGTACCTAAGTATGTGTATTTCTTACTTGACTTGTTGATGGTTTTTTTTTTTCGCGAAGCCAAAAGAGATGTCTATTGTTAAACTTGTTCAATAACTATTGCAATATTCTGGTTTATTTGCTTGAGCTTGTTTTCCAATAGCAACAAATTGATTTAGCTAAGCATTTCTTTGAATGCTGCACACACTCGAAACCAAACACCAAACTAAAGACAAAAAGTAGCAAAAAAAACCGTCTGCTGGAAAACCGCACAATACACAAAAAAAAACTTGGTCTTCACACTGGAAACGCCAAATACAGAATAAACATTTATTTTCGCGCTCATGAACTGTCCAGATCATGAAGTGATCGCAGCGCCGACGTCGACGTCAACGTCGCTGGTTGGGTTATCTGCAAACACACATACAACACAGCCAAACACACAGACATGCATACCCAGTAGGAACATGGCGGTCACAAATCCAATGGGCGTAGTGGTATTTTATGAAGAAACAGGCGTTACATAAATACAATTATTTCTAAAACTTTTGCTTATCAGCACAATACCACTCATTAGCTATGTCAGTCTGTTCTTTTGTCCGACTATCCGTCATGAACTCTTATTCCATAACAACTAGTCATGCAGACTTGTCCGACCCATGCGCACATCAAGTTTGTTTGTGTTAAACATAATCTCATTATTTTATCAGCCTGCCATAGAAACCATCGGCGAGAAAATAATTTTTAGTAGCAACAACTATTTTCTTTATTACAATATGTATAGTACAATATTAAACAATTTTAAATTTTATCTCGTATTATTCTAAACATTCTTGACACATTGTTGCCAATAAGACCCCCAATGAAGATTGCAAGATTGAAAAACGTTTGGAATAATCCAGTCCGTACACACAAGTTTCGTTTAATTTTTATAGTACCGGATATAGAAGGTGACACCGATGCAAATATTCATTCCTGTAAATAAGAAAATTATATTGTAGTTTGTATAAAAAGCAAAAGGCTTATCTTCAAAAAAAATCCTACTGGGTATCCATAGCTTAGCTTAGTCAACATTGTGCTCAGTGCATATATAATTACATATTTACAGTACATAACTACTTATCGTACTAGAACCACAGTGAACCTTCAATATGCGGAAAATTATGAAACTTGTATATTTGAATTCATAGTACGAGTGCAGGATTTTCATGTGGAATGGAAATACTTACCACTTTTGGCATATTACATTGATAGCTTTATTCCACTTTAATCCTTTCATTTTATATATAAATATAACAATTTAAAAAAAAGGTTAAAATTTGATTGATGAAGTTCGGAAAAGAAGAAGAGAGAATGTTTGTATTTTGTATTGGATTTGAAGTCAATCGTTTTTATTAAGGCTATTTTTTTTTTCAAATTTAAAATTCGGCTTCAGTATTCAACATACATATATTATTATATAGTCGCGATAAACTTACAAATATTTATCTATTAGAAACTTGAATATCATATCAACATTAATTAAGAAGTGGAGAGGAGTTGGGAAATTATAGAACCAATTGGCGACTTTCGTAAATTAAGGAAAAGGTCGTTAGTTGGCAATATTTACAAATGTTTTTGCTAGCGCCATCTATCTTTAGCAGATATGCTTTTGGTTTTAAAAAGTATGTTGCAAAGCACACGAAGCTTTCAAACTGGAAGAATTTTTTAAGAAACTAAATTGCAAAGTGAATGGAAAAACTAAAAGCTTTATTCGACAAAGTTCTCAGATACGCTTGTACTATTTGTGGATTTTCAAAAATATTGCACTAGACTTGGGCTTAACATCAGAACGTAACTGCAGAATGATGAAATAAGACTAAAACTAAGACTCATAGAATTTATTTTATATTTAACACAATAATTCCACCCATAATTCTTATAACCATAAATGAATTAAGGGCCTCACATCTAATAAGAAATTTTAAAAACGTTTTCAACAAATGTTTTATGCTAAGTCTAGATTAATAGAAAGCATATAATAAATATTAAAAAATTGGACATGCTTATTTATTCGTCTTTTAGTCTGTTCGTGTGTTCGACTGTATGAACGTCGTGAACTTTTGAACCGTAACGCCTAGATACACCAAACTTTTTCTGCAGACTTGTCTCATCCATACATATATAGTATTATTATTTTATTTAGTTGAAGTAGCACCGATCGGTGAAAAATCCGTCTTAGTAATATAAGTATATCTGAAAACATTTTTAATTTATGAGTTTTTTATAGCATGTACGAGTACGAAATATATTTATATTTCCAATTTTAATCATTTATAATATAATATCTTTTGAATAGTGGATATCTCACTTAAGTTCAGTTTTTTAATATCTGCAAAATGAAAGACACACAGAGGCTTATGTGGTAGAATATACATATATCTATATATGGGAACGGAAGGCCAAATTGAAATTGAACTTGTCGGGCCATAAAGTGCAGATGCAACATTTAATTGCTTATGGCAGATAAAATGTGGCACTAAACGCTTAGTTAGTTGCCCAAAATTCTCAGAGACAGCGACATCAACAGAAATCGGTGATGCGGAGATGTGTAGACAACGATCCCGAGCCAAGGCACTGGGGTTTTGCGTCGCTGGCAGTGCAATGTCAAAATATATGAAAACATTCCCATTTTGGCGGTCGTTCATTAAAAATGCATAAATTTTAGTCAACCAGAGGGGAGGGGAGAAAGCGTCTTAAAGCAATGACAAGATGGTGAACAAACAAGGCAGTTAATCAAGTAACTCAGTGAAAAGGCGCGTGCAAAATTGACGGACCTCATTACAATCCTGCGCCATCAACATAAATTCTGGCAAAAAAAGCATTCAGATAAAATGAAAATCAAAATGAAAATGAAAATGAGCGAGCAACCCAATTTGCAAATCGCTTTTGAACAATTTCACTTTCAATTTGCGACACAAGTCGGCACCAAAAATTGAATTGTTAGCGACAATGAAGACAACAAAAACAGCAACAAAAACAACAACTGTGAGACGACACGAGGGCGCCAACCGCTGCCGACAGATGGCTAATGATCGGACCCCGTCCGTCCCCCCTCCCCCACACTTATTCTTACAATCATCATTTTGAATATTAAATGAAAATATCGAATAATTTAAAAATTGTACCAAGGAGAGCTAAACAAGATGTTTGGCTTGTATGTTGGGATGGCTGGAGAATTGTGAGATCATTTTGGATTAGACTGGACCATAACAGCTCTATGCTGCTAAGATCATTTATCGAAAGATCAGTCTTTTGATCCTCTTACTCGGCTTCACAGCTTCTGCTGAATACCAAGTCTGATGGTGTTTCTGTGTTGCGATCCTTATGTCGAACGCCCAGGCTTGTACTTTCCCAGGACTAAAGGAAACGAATGGCATATCGATTCTGTCCTTGTCGTTATTCTGAAGAATCAAGTGTCTTCTTGTCTTGAATAAGTTTTCGCCGTCTACTGTTTCTCAGTTGGTATTTCTGGCGTAAGATATTACTACGTGTAAATCAGGGCTTCACACTCAAGGCGAAGTAACCTTCCAAGCTATTTAGATACGTCCCTCTAGGCAGTAGTGTCTTTTTGCCTCAGGGCTGTATTAGTAGCCTGGAGGGGAAGGGTAATTTGTCGGTATTTAAATTCATATTCATTCAGATTTACATTTTCCCTCAAACAGATATCTTAGCTGAAAACATAGAAAATGCAGACACTTTTCGGAAATTTTCACAAAAATTTCAAAACATACACATATGCCGTGAAAATTGTAGACATATGTATGTACATTTGTAATACAAACGACGACAACAACAATGACGCATTGTGGAACACTGGCCTGAGATTTAGACTCATTCCATTAGATATAGTCTACACAGTGACAAAAATAATAAAAAGCTATCATCGCCTTTTTTTCGAAATTATCACTTCTCTAAATTTCCTTTGTAATACATTTATGTTTTTTATCGCAAATTATGAGACCAATGTTCGAAGCAAAAATCATTAAAAATCATCTGAAGTGGAACACAATTTATATGTTTTTGATGAAAAAAATCCAGATCATATTCTTTTTCCTTTGCATTTAATTTCTTATTCCAAAGAATTCATTAATTACTTAATTGGGAAATAATATACTTTTGTTAGTCGACTACTGAAGAATGATCAACAATTCTTTGTAGTTTATATTTTTGCATCCAGGAAGAAACGTGGCAGGCCTCCACAAAGTATATACGTATATAATATATTTTTGATCAGCATGACAAGACGAGTCGATACAGCCATGTCCTTCTGCCTGACAGTATGCACGCACGAATCTCGGAAAGTACAAGAGCTAGATTATCCAGATTTGATATACAGGTTTTTTAATATTCGAGAAACGTTTTTTTTTTAAGCTCCCGTATTTCTTGAAACGTGGCTATATGGTATTGGGTCTGCTCCACTCTACCATTCCATTCTTGTTTAATAAATACTACAGATATTCAAATTTATTTGCTGTACTCGAAGTCTGTTTTTAATGAATGCAATACTTTACCAAGCGGCGGGGTCACCACAAGTTTGTATCGCGGTGTATGCATAATATGCTCATTATATTTTAAAAATATGTACTAACAAAAGACAGGCAATTAATTACGGTGTGTGACTGTGCTTGCAAAGCCAGGCACTTGGCTGATGGATGGATAGGAACGAGAACAGAGAAGGGAGAGGAATTGTTAAAGAAAATAGTGGGCGAGGCGAAGAAGAATAAGAGGATTAACATTGAAAATGAATCAATAAATTAGACAATGTTGAACGTTATGAGAACTAGCTAATACTAATACTAATAGTATACTAATATTAATACCTATAATTGTACAACTTATCCAGAGAAGCTATATACTATAAAAGTTCAAATGATTTTGTTAAGAAGCAGTAGTTGAAGAAGAAGCGAAAGGTGTCAACATAGGATCGCTTAAGTAGCTTAGCATAAATAAAACTACAATAAACATTTCAATAAATTAACATAATATACAAGTGTTCATATATACATATAGTATATATCTATTGGTGGATTGGCGAATCGGCAAATCGCTGGCCACCTCGTTTATGACCGCGTCTATCTGACGGATTTGCTCCGCATATCTATTTATCTATCTATAGATAGTTTAACCTCGATAATTCGGACAATTAGTGTTCAGTGGACCGAAAATTTCGGATTATCGCGTCACACACAAACCTGTAAAATGAAAATAATATTGAGGACATATCCAAATTTTGTTATTTATTAATTGTTTTATCTATTTCTGAAATGTTGTTTTAATATTATAACAAAAAATTGATTATTAATTTGAAGATTAAAATTGATTAAATTAGAAATTAGTAAGATGCCAAGATTTAACAGATGTATGTGTATATGAAATGCGTGGCGAGACGAATTGAGAAAGACATATCAGTTTCCCCGTCTAACCGCTTGTCCATCTGTTCGACTGTATGAACATCGAGAACTTTTTCCATAGCAGCTAGGACAGCAAACTTGGTACGCAGACTTGAGTCATCCATACACAGATCAAGTTTATTACAAGCTACGTAGCTCCCTTAAATATCTAAAATTTTATTTCATATTATTTACATACTAAATATTTTTTAATTATTCAAATAGTGGAAGAAGAATTTTGTGGTCGCCACACATTCAATTATTATTATCAGAACCTTTACATACACGTAGAGTATGAATGTAATAGTTGTCTGGTTACCGTTTCCTTACAACTATTACATTTAAATATATTACTACTATTCTATTTTCAAATATCTTATTTAGTGTTCTAATATCCTCTAATCCTGTCTTTTCTGTATCATTCTTTATCATTCCATTCTCTTTTATTCTACACAACTTTATTTCTTTCTGTTTCATTTTGTTCTATTCCATTCTATTCCTTTTATTTCTATTCTATTTGAAGAGAGCATATATTCCTTTCTGTTCCATTTTGTTCTTTTCATTCAATTCTATTCTATTTCTTTCAAGTCTGTTCTAATTTCTCTTTATATTATGCACTACTCCATTTTATTGCATTGTTTCATATTTTATTTACATAGTTTTGTCTATTCTACTACATAATTCTATTCTATTCATTTTGTTCCATATCATTATATTCTATTCTATTTCATTTACTCCTCTTAATATAGCTTACATAACTTAACTTAACTACTTAACTATACATTCAATTTTTGTCTATTCTATTATTATTTTTTATTTCAATAATTCTGTCTATAGATTCGACATTGCCCGACATTTTCTTGGTTCAGCCACGAGTTTTATGCGCCAGATGTTAGCACAATTCGTTCTCCTTCAATGGGTATTACGATGCACGCACATGTAGAGTCGAAATTAATAAACAATTCAGCAAAGCAATTATATGTAAATATTGTATATGAATAACTCATTGGAACTTATAAGCTGCCAAATGGTCAAATGTTGTTCAGAAAAGCCTTGCGAAGTTTACGACCGAATCTTTTTATGGCAAATAAAATAAATGCCGAGACGATACAGATATAATAAGAATAGCGAAAAATCAACAAAGCGTAGAAAAATTCAGACAACTGAATACTGTTGATATTCAAAAATAATTTATGCGCTATCTCCAAAATGATAATGTTCTGTTCTTCACGAGCTGAACGAATTTATTTCAGCACCGGGATTAGAAACCAATGAACCTTGCGACACATTGTTGTTGTTGTTAAAAACGTTTGTAGATCATTTGACAAATCGGCCGTAAAGCCAGCCATAATACCACCATACGCTTATACAAGTATATCTATGAGTCCATATACTTAGGAATGTTTGGATATTCATTCTGTAGAAATAAGTTGGCAAATGCTCGAAACATTTTTGTTTTTTTTTTATAGATATATTTTTAATTTATTTTAAATAAATACAAATACAATTACATTTAGTACAGAGAGCGTCAGATTTGTGTATGGAGTGCAACCACTTCTAAGGGGGACTATTGGCCTGGATAGCGGCTAGAATCGTTCAAAATTCATTTTTTACACTAACTTTCAGATGGATTTATTGTTTTCAGACTATAAACAATATTGTGATTAAAAAACCAACAATTTTTAGAATAATTTTGGGCAATAGATTCAATACTTTTTGTATTTCGAATTTTATGAGTTCCGAATGATAGATGGAGAGGTTCTACGAAAAAATTAGAATTCTTTCGTTGCAAAGCAAACCCTTAGAGCACCCAAAAAAGCTATCATTTATGTAGAAAGACTTTGGCCACAGAATGCAACTAATTAGTTATTCTGGTCTTCCAATCGAATACGTTTCTCTGATCTTTACATCAATCATAGACTGGCTTTGTGGTTAACAAAACTTTTAATGGATGTTCTGTTTTTCCAAACATGTTGTTTATGAAACTCTAAACGATATTGTGATTAAGAAGATTACATGAATTTTTTTAATTTTAAAAACTCTTAGAGCTCCGATCGATAGATGGAAAGATTCTTTGAAAAAGAAATACTTATGAAACGAGTCACTTATGTAGAAAAACTTTGGGCACAGAATGCAACTAATTAGTCATTCTATTCTTCTTCTTCTTTGTTGTTGTTAAAAAAACTTCTAATGGATATTCTGATTTTGCAATCAGAAGAGTTTCTCAGACCCACACATCAGTCAAAGATTTGTTTTTTGGTTTTTATTAAAACTTCTAATGGTTTTTACAATCACATATTATTGGGCTCAGAACTGAAAATTGGGTCTCATGTCTTGTGTATATTGGCGATAAAGATTCTTTTATAACTGACTATTCTCAAATATTATCTCAAAATATTTTGATAGTTACAAACAAAATTCCAGTTGCTATCCAAGTTGTAAGCTGGCTGCTAACACAATTTGACTAAATCAGAACATATTAGATTGATCATCTATTATAGACCTAAGCCTGTTCCGTTGCTGCAGCGGCTGAGGCTGCAGGCGGCGTAGGTGCTGGTCCCCCTGATGGCTCGGAGGTCGCTGGTGTCGCCTCTGATGCTGCCTCTGATGCCGCCTCTCCTGCTTCCGCTTGGCCATTTGCCTGCTGCTTCTTCTGCTGTTCGGCGGCCAGCTTTTTGGCCTGTTTTTCGGCCTCGGCCTGCAGCTTCTTGGCCTGTTTCTCCTCGGCCTGACGCAGCTTTGTCTCCAACTGGCTGCGCAATATAGAGTCGCCCAGACCCAGCTTATCCATAATCTCCATGATGTCGCGACTGTACCGCACACGCGTCTCATTGGCCAGATCGAGACTGCAGTCCTCGCGACCCTGGTTAAGGCGATTGAGAACCGCCATTTTGGCATCAATGATCACGTAATTGCTGTTCGGTATAAAGCTGTCGCTCTTCTCATTCAAATACTGGACCAGTGTGCGCAAAGAGTTTGAGTTGACTTTGGCATTAATGGCGCCGCTCGCAAAGTCCTGCGACTTCATCATCTGCGCATGCGTAGACTTCTGCTTGCAGGCCAGGCAGTTCCAATTGGGATGGGGCAGACCGGTAATCTCTGGCACTACCAGACCACTGCAGTTTGTATCGCGACAATAGAGAGCCGAGATGAACGCATTACGCTCCTAAAAAACAAGCAAAAGAAATTGGAAATTCATTTAGATGCAACAATACTATAAAATGAAAACTAGCACTAAATGATATTCTACGTAGCTTAGCTGTTTCTATATATATAAAATTATGTGTCAGGGCGAAGTAAAAGTGATTATATTAGAGTAATTTAATTTGAGTTAATTTTTGTTGATCTTCGATCGCTGTCGGTTATCGAAGATATGTAGGTAGAAACCAGCCAGAAAATCTCTAAAAAAAATCCGATATAAATAGCAAAAAAGTCCGAGAAAGGCAAAAAAACGCACTAAAAATTGTTAGAAACCCAGCCAAAAATGGGTAGAATATGCTAGAAATTGAAAAATAAAAGAACCGCTAGAAATTTATAGAAACACCGCAATAAATATTTATAAGACCCGCTAGAAAACAGATAGAGAACCCGCGGTCACTGATAGTTGCCGATCCAGCTTTTAAGAGCCTCAGAAAACGCTATTCTATTTCTATTAAAAATATTCCTGTATTCCCGCGAAAACCGCAAGACCTGCAAGAACTTAAAAATCAAGACCTACCAGAACTCCAAGTTTGTTTACATTTCAGATTGTACCGTAAGGTTCATGCACGCATCTTCAAACCACAGCTGATTTTTGTTTACATTCATAATTTCAATTTCGCCAGCTAGGCTACTTGCTGGTCATTTATGTGCGTGCTATTGCTGCCGTGCTATTGCTGCCGTCACAGAAAAGGTTGCCGATCTAGCATTCAAAACCCTAACATAAGAAGACTCACTTCAATAATTTGATTGAAAACATCACTTAGTGCTAATTTGAATACCAAGTAGTCTATCAGGGGTCGGGATCACTAAAATAGAAGTCGTCTGAAATGTACATAAATATTACAATGAATTGAAATCCATCATGTTATTCCAATTAGCTTAGCAGGCGTCGGGGTCACTAAAAAAAGATCACATGTGACGATCCCTACTTCAATAATTTTATTGAAAACATCACTTAGTGCTAATTTGAATACCAAGTAGTCTATCAGGGGTCGGGATCACTAAAATAGAAGTCGTCTGAAATGTACATAAATATTACAATGAATTGAAATCCATCATGTTATTCCAATTAGCTTAGCAGGCATCGGGGTCACTAAAAGAAAGATCACATGTGACGATCCCTACCGACTTCAAATGGAGTTTATAAAACAATTAAATGATTAAACTATTTGAAATAGAAAATCCATCATTAAAATGTATTTCAATTAGTTAGGGAGGCGTAAGAATCGTTGCCTCGAATGACTGAACTTAAGACGATAAAAGCCTCCTCCTCACCTCCCGAAATTCTTGGCATACTTTTTGTTGTTGTTGTTGTTATTGTTGTTTGTTGTTTCTGCAGAGAAGACAAGAAAAATGCGTTGGAAGCGCTGTCTAAAAATACGCAATGCATATAGAGAAGAAATCGTAAATAAATTGACACATATAAAAATATTTCTTTAATTAACTTTATGCCGTCACTCCTCCCCCTTCCCGTAGTCGCTCTAACATAGGCGCGTTTCGCTCAACGATCGATAAATAAGATGACTAACAATCGGCCGGATTATGCGAATACTTGTATATCTGACAGCTCTTAAATACCAATGGGAGAGTGTTGGCAACAGGCAGCGGGAAGCAAGTGCTGTCGTTGTTGTTGTGGTTGTGGTTGTTCTTATTGTTGTTGTTGTCGTTGTTACCCATGGCTCGTGCCGTCATTGTTGGCTCATAGCCGCATAGCCTCATAGCCATATCGACTCGTGGTCGACTTGTCGACTGTTTGGAATTCGACTAATTTGTTTGCCATAAATTTCAGTGCCAGATATTGTACTCATAAATAAATGGGCCCCAATGATGAGGGCATACCCGAGAGAGACAGACCGACAGACCGACAGACAGACAGAGAGCGAGAGAGATCTGTTTCGATTTGGAAATTAGATATCGCAATCAAAGGATATTAAATGTGAATATTCATAGTTGTTATCCACTGTAGAATAAACAATTCTTTGATTTCTCGAAAATATATATTTACATATATCCCAAATGCAAAAGCTTTGGCCACAAAAGAATTAGTTGCATATTTTTTATAGTTTACACTAATTAGACATATAAATTGTGAATCATCCAATCTGTGTAGAATCAATAGCGAAGAAAGGATATCTGGTGAAAATAATATAGTTGTTATCAACTCAAAGGAGATGTAATTATAATATTGATTTGTTATTTTGTTGTGGCATCCTCCAAATGTTTATTTTCTTGCCTTCTCTTTGATAATTCATTTTAAATTTATAATAAATAATAAATAAAAATAAATAAATATTTAACAACTATTTAATGCATTGCTGTGCTGTCATCTCTTAAGAACATTCACCAATTATGATAGTTTCTTGAAAAGCTATGTTTATTATAGGAACCCTATAGCTTTCCAACCCGGCATATAAGAGAATATACAAAATACATTTTCATAAATAGGCAGAGAATAATTGTAAGGATGTTAAAATCTAACTCCAGCATCCGCAAAGTTTGGATTGAACTGGACTTTATTAGGTTAGGAAGTTTGTACCATTTTAATGATTAATTTCGATTAATTCTAATCAAAAAAAATAAAATGAAATTTAAATTGTAAATATTTATAAATACTGCTGGTTTTCATAATATTTAGAAAACAAAAGAAAAATACAATTAGAAACTTCAGCAATTCTTGCAAATCAGATAAGATTAAAGCTTGCATTTATTTCCATAAATAGTATTAATAAAATTGTTTACAATAAATAATACAAATAATAAATACAAATTATGGTTGTAATGGTTTATTTTTGGCATACACTGACTCAAAAAAGACTTGAACAGCAGTTAGCAATGAAATTTCTTTGAAAGTAAAAGCCTCAACCTTTTTAGAACACACGTATTGGGAAGAAGTTAAAAAATTGCACCATAACGCCTAAATCATGCTTATGCCGATTTTTGTTACAAATTATTATTTCTGCAGAAGCTTGAATCAAGCCATTTTTTTTAAATGCCAGAGCCTGGCCAATGAATATAGTGTCGCTTTGGAGATATCTGATATCTGACTCTCTAAAACTCAATCCAAATACATATGTAGAATACTAGATAAATATCTTGAAGAGGCAAACTATTTCCAAACTAATGGAGATATCTCATATCTGACTCTCTAAAACTCAATCCAAATAGATATGTAGAATACTAGATAAATATCTTGAAGAGGCAAACTATTTCCAAACTAATGGAGATATCTCATATCTGATTCTCCAATACTCAGTCCAAAGACATGGATATATAGAATACTAGATAAATATTTTGAAGAGGCAAACTTTTTCCAAACTAATGGAGATATCTGATATCTGGCTCTCTAAAACTCAATCCAAAGACATGGATATGTAGAATACTAGATAAATATCTTTAAGAGGCAATCTATTTCCAAACTACTTGGAGATATCTGATATCTGACTCTCTAAAACTCAATCCAAATAGATATTTAGAATAGTAGATAAATATCTTGAAGAGGCAAACTATTTCCAAACTAATGGCGATATCTCATATCTGACTCTCCAATACTCAGTCCAAAGACATGGATATATAGAATGCTAGATACATATCTTGAAGAGGCAAACTATTTCCAAACTACTTGGAGATATCTGATATCTGACTCTCTAAAACTCAATCCAAATAGATATGTAGAATACTAGATAAATATCTTTAAGAGGCAAACTATTTCCAAACTACTTGGAGATATCTGATATCTGACTCTTTAAAACTCAATCCAAAGACATGGATATGTAGAATACTAGATAAATATCTTTAAGAGGCAAACTATTTCCAAACTACTTGGAGATATCTGATATCTGACTCTCTAAAACTCAATCCAAAGACATGGATATGTAAAATACTAGATAAATATTTTGAAGAGGCAAACTATTTCCAAACTACTTGGAGATATCTGATATCTGACTCTTTAAAACTCAATCCAAAGACATGGATATATAGAATGCTAGATACATATCTTGAAGAGGCAAACTATTTCCAAACTACTTGGAGATATCTGATATCTGACTCTCTAAAACTCAATCCAAATAGATATGTAGAATACTAGATAAATATCTTTAAGAGGCAAACTATTTCCAAACTACTTGGAGATATCTGATATCTGACTCTTTAAAACTCAATCCAAAGACATGGATATGTAGAATACTAGATAAATATCTTTAAGAGGCAAACTATTTCCAAACTACTTGGAGATATCTGATATCTGACTCTCCAATACTCAGTCCAAAGACATGGATATATAGAATGCTAGATAAATATTTTGAAGAGGCAAACTATTTCCAAACTACTTGGAGATATCTGATATCTGACTCTTTAAAACTCAATCCAAAGACATGGATATGTAGAATACTAGATAAATATTTTGAAGAGGCAAACTTTTTCCAAACTACTTGGAGATATCTGATATCTGACTCTCTAAAACTCAATCCAAAGACATGGATATGTAGAATACTAGATAAATATCTTTAAGAGGCAAACTATTTCCAAACTACTTGGAGATATCTGATATCTGACTCTCTAAAACTCAATCCAAAGACATGGATATGTAAAATACTAGATAAATATTTTGAAGAGGCAAACTTTTTCCAAACTACTTGGAGATATCTGATATCTGACTCTCTAAAACTCAATCCAAAGACATGGATATGTAGAATACTAGATAAATATCTTTAAGAGGCAAACTATTTCCAAACTACTTGGAGATATCTGATATCTGACTCTCTAAAACTCAATCCAAAGACATGGATATGTAAAATACTAGATAAATATTTTGAAGAGGCAAACTTTTTCCAAACTACTTGGAGATATCTGATATCTGACTCTCTAAAACTCAGTCCAAAGACATGGATATATAGAATGCTAGATACATATCTTGAAGAGGCAAACTATTATCATGGAATAATATATCCAGAGATATCCCTAATCTGAAATATGGCCCTTGAACTATATAGTATGTTTCCTTAATCTTGAAGGCGCAGAAAATATTGCACTTTTCATCACTATATGTACAATCGAGATAAGATCTCAACACCTACATGACTATCTTAGATAGGCCTCCTAAGTGGTTCAAATTATTTAAAACACGCATTGAACTCTAGGGAGCAGATACAACTAGAAGATAAAGCCCTTGCTTTAAAACCAAGCAACTACAGAACTATATATGTATAATTACAAAATGTTTGTTCATTTTTTAATTAGATATGAAAAAAAAAACTTGCTTCTACTACAAATTTTGAAAAATATATACTATATATTAATATTTCAGATATATAGTATTTTCAGTTTGACTTTAGCGAGCTTTCTAATGTATGCATTTATTTGGTGTCATATTTGTTTTTGTGTTTTCTAAGTATTTCGTATACTACTTGTATACGTAAGTGTTAGTCGTACTTTTCGAAAACATTAGACATGATGATTAGCTGAGAAATGTTTCCAAGTGTTTTCGAAATAATTCGCTGTTCGAAGTCTCGCAGAAAATCGAATTTTGTGACAATGACGAAAGCGATACTTGGATTTAAAAGTGTCAGTCCTTGTCCGATTTGAAAGGCAATGCAATAAAGTGTTTTAAAAAATTGCAACTATCTGAAAGATACATATATGTGGATGATTATGAATATACACACTATACTCTTGAGTATTTATAGTCGCCCATTGGCCCTTAGACATTGTCAAAGGCCAGTGAACTTGCTGACAATTTGAAATATTTGCGCCCATTTGTGCGATATATGTAGAGATATGTATACACACTATATAGCTGTATCTGATTAGCATCGTTCGCAACATTTTCAAGTGAATTAAGTGGCTTTTATGATTGGATCGCCCGGCTACTTGACGGCCCGGCTAGTTGGCCACTTGTCGGTACACTTTCTATATCTAATATCTGAGAAGCTGATGTCAAACGGAAAATAATGGGCGCCGCCAACATACCAGAAAATGCGTGGCCATGGCCAAGAAAATGTTTATACAATACGAATTGTATATATGTATATGCATTTAGTACTTATATACATATATATAGACATATATGTTTATACATAAAATAATAATAAAAGCGCGACAAATCTGCTGTTGATGTTCAGTCCGTCGAAGTCGAAAAATCATAAACGGCGAGTGCAAAATATATGTGCAAACTAAATCTATCTATATATATACTTGGTATAAATATATATATATATATATATATGGGTTGCATATTAATATATCTAAGCATTCATATATCTTGCTATATATGTGTTCTATAGCTACTGGCTGTGTGGCGCTCATTTAATTAAAAACTGTTCAAATCTCTTGAATATATTTAGTTTTGATTTAATTAAATTTCTTTCCTTTCTGTTCGCCCTTTTTTTTAAATACAAAAATATTTTATTTATTTATTTTCGCGCGATTTGAATAAACAACGAGGTGTGGTAAACGTGCCGGAAAATTGTTGTGATTGCCGTCCCGCCTGCTGCGCTCCAAAGTTATGATTTTGTTTCTACAGATGTTCATAAATAATAAATATGTTTTGTCGTTATTTGTTGCTGCTTAATTTATTGTTTTTTTTTTTTTTAATAAAAAAAGAGAGGCGCGTTTTTCACAGTTGCAACCAATCAGGAGGGGCAGGCAGCGAGCAGGGTCTGGGCTCAGCCACCACTTGTTGTTAGCCCACATTATTGTTTGTGCCACTTATTTGTGGCCAACAATAACAAAAATGGAGCAACAACAGCCTGCAATAACAAAAACAATGTGCGTGCAAAAAGTTGTTTAATTGTTTTCGGATGAAAACGCTGCGCACAGGAAATCCTTAATGAGATTTCTTTTCCCTTTTTTTTGTTTGTTTGTTTCGATCAAAAACGCTTTGTCTTTGATGGATCGCAGTTTTCGCATAATGTGCTGAATTTATGATCCACAGACATACTTTTGAATTCGTATAGTGCCCGCCAAACTGAACAAAATGTATTTGAATGCAATAAAAATTAACATTAGCTTCGCTTTTTATTCATTGTGTGAACATATTTTAAGGCAGACTTCAAATTCTTAAAATGCCAGCAAAACTAAAGAAAATGTTTTTTTTTTACCGTGTGAAGATTTCGCTATAAAATGTTTACAATTTTTGGTTTGGAAACCAATATTAATGATTAGTTCTACAAAACTGTACAATCGAACAAGATATAATATTATACTCAATGCTTTTTCGTTTTTTGAGAGATTTCTTATACAATTGATTGACTTGGAAACAGAATAGAATGAATAGACTTAACTTTTGAGAATAATTAATAACATTGTCTTCGCTTTTTATTAATTGTGTGAACATTTGATACAAATATTTGGAATAGTTCTACTAAACATATTTTAAGGCAGACTTTAAATTCTTAAAATGCCAGCAAAACTAAAGAAAATGTTTTTTTTTGACAGAATAGAATGAATAGACTTTACTCTTAAGAATAATTAATAACATTATCTTTTTATTAATTGCTTGTGTGTTTTTTTTTTGCAATACGATTTGGCTTAAAAACCAAAGTCTATTCTTGTTTATTTTCTATCTTCTTCGAAGACTTAAACAAATATTTCCAATTCAATAATTTGCAGTACAAAATAGTACTTACAAAAATAAGTATAGAATGATGGCCATAACTAAGATAATTTTCTTCTTCCAAGCAGTTCATGTGAATTTCTATCTTCCTTTCTAGACTTATACGAATACTTTCAATTCACTAATTTGTAGTTCAAAATAAAAATACTAACAAACAAAAATACATTTATGAAATGTTGGTGCTAATTTTGTAATTATTTTTATTCAAACAGTATCCAAGCAGTTCCTCTTCACGGTAGCCTGCTTTCATATTTTATGTCTGATCAGCATTGAAAATTTGTTGTAAAGTTTCTTCAAACAAAACACAAATTGTTGAGCAAATAATTTGTATGTCTGACCGTTCCGTCGTAGCTTAAGAAAAGCAATCAATTAGAGCTTTGACAACTGGAATAAAATGCAGTATACAAAAATAAATAAATTTTTATCTAAGTACACCTAATTCTGTTTTTACATGGTTTGAAAATTAAAAATTGCATATATGGTTACACGAGTTAATTCCATTTAGCACGATTCAAAATAACATCTGATCGATGTCTTTTTTACACGACTTTTTCTGGAACCAATCTACCGTGTAAAAACAGAATTAGTTGTATATAACTTCTTCTGCTATCTGAACTGCATTAACACTAACACTAGCGACAGAAAAAAATAGCACTGTAATATGTTAAATGCTTATTCTCTGGAAAAAGTGTCTTTCTCTCATTATTTTGAAACTTTGCCTAATCAGGAGCTATTATCGTATGTAGTTAGCTTTTAAGATTTGCTTTTCACTCTGACATATACTTTGTAACTTTGGGAGGAGTATGAAAAGAGAAGAGGCACAGTTTCTGCTCAATGCACGCCTTCTGTTGTTTGCTTGTTGATAAATTCGACCCCCAAATAAAATCTAGAGGGAAACCCCCATGCCGAAGTTAACATGATCGGGTGCTGTTTTGTCGAATAATAATGTTTCGTACAAAAAATAATGATATTTCAGAGACCTATTTTAGTTTGTCAAAGACAAATTTTTATAATAGTGCTATTTTCTTGCACCGCACCTGTAGATAAAATAATATCAAATACTTCCTATATCTCCGAAACCCACAACTTAGCCCTGATCTGAATACACGTATTAAGTGAGAATAGACCATTGCTTAAAGCATTTTATTTATATTTCTTACATTATTTAGCGCAACTTTTACTGAAAAGAAGCAGAAACTAAAAGCCACTACTCGAATTTATAAAATTGTGTCTTTCGAAACTAGTTTGTTATTCAAAATCTTTCTACTTAAACATTCCGAAGTAATTATTCGTATATATGCTTAATAAGTAGATTTCTTCTATGACTATGAAAGTAGTTTTCAACCTTACTTTGATCCAATATATCGTTTTACACCTTTTTAACTAATTAATTAGTTTTCCAAACCTTTTTTAAAGGTGAACGTATTGCTCGCTTAAAGCCTAGAATTTGGGCACATGTTGAGAGCAAAAATCAATGTTTACTTATAATCAGTAATTCATTGAATCGATTTAATTATGTGAGATATTTTAAAATAGAAAAAGAAAATTTTTTAAAATTTAATTAAATTTGTTTGTAACTTTTGCATCAAAGTAAATACTTGTTATTTCAAATAAAAAAGTAATTGCTGTTATTCATTACAAGTATTCAACATATTTGCATTTTCTGTCTTGATAAATTCGACCCCCAAATGGGGGAATTAAACAACACATGTAAATTAAATCATTTAAAAGCACAATTCTATGAAATTATATGCGCGTTATGTAGCTCGCTCTTTAAATCGCACTTGGCAATGGAATTGTGTGCAACATTAATGGACGCCGACATTAAGAACAAAATTTATGCCTAGTGTTGAGAGACTAGTACATCAACAAAGACATTTTGCTATAAGAAGAAAAGTTTTCGGGATTTACGAGTACTTAATAAAGTGCATCGAATTTGTTTTCAATTTACAAGTATTTGGTTGTCTTGAGAATTCGACTTAAAGAGGAACTGATCATCGATAATTATTCGCTCGCAATTGATTTCACAATTTCACACTCACCGTCGGATCGGAACAGCGTGGACATTTGCATGAGAAGCCCTTCTTCATTTTGAGAAACAAGTGTCGGGCAATGTTGCCGGTGAAGAGTTTGGTGTAGGTGGTGGTGATTTCGGCCCCCTCGGCAATATCTACGGCGGCACGGACAATCATGTTGTTGGTCTTCTCATCGAAGGTGTAGTACGAGTTGGGAATGCAGTCGTGATTCATGACGGCGAACAGCGGGAAGAGAGCACGGTAGAAGAACTCCTGATTGTCGTTGGTGCGATCGGTGGTCTTATCGAAGCCATCGGTGCGCAGGACGGCGACAGTTCGATTCATGATCTCGATCACCTTCTTGTCGGTGGGGAAGCTCTTGAAGCATTTGGCCGCATTCCGCACCTCGGTCCGATGATTGTTGTCCAGATTGGCCTGCAAACAGTAGATGAGATCGCGCTGATCCTTGGTCAGATTGATGGCTCGGGCCACGCACAACAGTCGTATGATCACAGAGTTGGCCACATCCGGTTCGTTGGGGGCCCACGACTTGAACAAATCACAGTCCGTCTTATGCTGCTTCTTCTTGCCACACAAATTGCAAACTGGCAGGCCGCATCCCTGCCGGCACATGAATCGCGTATCGGGCAGAGCCTTGAAGCACACAGAGCAGGCGTTCAGGGAGTCCTCCTCGAGGGCGGCCAATCCAATCAGCAGGGGACTGTCCGTGAAGATAATCTCACCGCGTTTCAAAGCACGGGTGGCCATAACGCCCCGTCCCGCTATCTTTGAGACTCCAATTTCCCAGGCGGGATCCTTATCCTTGAATGGGGCTAGATGGAGATCGAGCAGCTCGGAGGTGCGTTTCGGACAAATCATTTTGAGACGTCGGACACAATTAACACGAAATATCAAAAAACACAACAACAACAACAAAAACACTCTGCTGCACAATAGCCAAAAAAAAAGTTTCGTTTCTTTTGTTTTTTTTTTTTTTTAATTTCTAAATTGAAATCGGACAAAAAAAAGTGTATTTCTTTCAATGAAATTTTCTCGCACAATAGCTCGCCCGACACGCTTCCAATTAATATATTTACTCTCAATACAGATAGTATTAATAATTATTTGTATTATTATTATTAATTATCAATTTCTTTCTTCTTGTTTTTGTGTTTCCTTTTCTTTGGTTTTGCTTTTGCCTGCGCGTCTATCGCGACTGCCGTTCGCAAACTGTCGCCGTTTTCCAGCCTTACATGATTTTTATTTGAAAAATTCACGCTGAATTATTCGATTCGGTCGAAATGTTGAAAAAGCCGAACCGCCCGAGCACGACGATCACGAAGATCCCAACACGATCGAAACGCAACTCGATGTGGGCGTGAAAAGCGTGGACGAGCGGTTGATTTTTTTTTATGAGGCGGCGGTGGTGGTGATGGTGGTGGCGATTTCTACAGATTTTCTGTGTCTGTGCTTTCGATTTTTGTTGTTGTTGTTGTTGTTGGGGTGGGAATATTGAACAAGTGCGAACCGCTTTTCGAAAGTGCATCTAAAACAGCAATAACAACAACTGACTGTCAGCCCCACTTGCCATGGACACCTTGCATTCGTAGGTGGGTCATTGGATGGATGGGTTGGCTTGGGTTAGCTTGGGTTGGGTTGGGTTAGTTGTTTTGGGAGATGGCAACGGGGAGATTACAAGTGTTAAACGCAAAGATTTGTGCGAAATGGATAGAGAAAAACAAAAACATCAGCCAGGCTAGAGATGGGCGCGTGATAAATAAAAGAAGAAGAGCGTTTTCATGCCCTCAGTTCATCAACTAAAATAAAGAGTTATACAAATTTAATTCAATTACAATGATTGTTTCTACGACATCTATATAATATATTTCAATAGTTTTCAATTTTAAATATGAATGTTGGGCTTTACGCTAAATGACTAACAGAATTCTTCAGAATACATTTGTTGTTAGCTGTCGAAACCGTTTGCTGCATTTGTAAAGTGAAAAACGTGTTTCTATATTTTGAAAATCGTTGAATGCCCATTTGTAGATATGGTTATGTTGATTACGGAGCCCAAGTTTGAAATCGATCGGACAACATTTGTAACACAAACTTTTCATTTGAAAAAAGTTGAAGAAATATTAAAACTCCAATAATTCAAGCTCCAAGACTAATTTCAAAAAACCAACTATGCAGTTTTATATGTATTCTTTTATAGATCACAAACCAAATATGAAGTTCATCGGTGGAAAACTGAAGGTTTTTCAAACAAATTTTGGAGCTCGTTTTCCCCCTTTGGAGCTCGAATTTTCCGCGCATCTACATTATGATGGGAACGCGTTGGGGCTGTGGGCTGTTGTGTTTCCTTTAGTGCCCCAAAATTTTTTACGAATATTTCAGTCCCCAAGAGAAATTTCTGGGAGTGTACAAACTGAGTTTAAAGTTAATCAGATGAAATTGTAGATTTTCCATACAAACATTAGAGCCTGTTTTCCTCCTTTGGAGCTCGAATTTTCCAAAATATCTTTATAAATAAATCAGTTATCATCCTAAGAGCGATTTTAGCACCGATCTTTTCTATGGCAGCTATGTGATATACTTCACTGATTTCAAGGAAATTTCAGAATTTTAATAGGCACTACACAAAACTCTTAAGATATTTTCATAAGCCAAAAGGTTATTTTACAAAGAGTGATTATTACGACTATCGGTCCCATGACAGCTTTATGAAATCATTATTTATTATTTGTAATACACGTGATCTGCATATGGATAAAATCAAAATAAATACCAAGTTTGGTATCCGTATCTCTTATAGATCAAATTTTCTCGGTGTTCATACAGTCAAACAGATGGACAAACGGCAAGGCGCACAAATGAATATGTCTATATCGGTTCGTTTCGTCATGTTCCCACATTTGACTTGTGTATTTTCTAGTATACCTTAGAAAGCTTAGACTACTGGGTATAAAGAGCAGTATAAAGCTGATTCTTCCATACAAGGGTTGTTCAATCTTTGCAAAACAAGAGAAAAACACCTTTTGGTGTAATGTTTCCTATTTATTTTGCACCATAGTATTATTTTACAAAAAAAAAGAGTCCTCCAGTCCTAATTATTTGTAAACACATTACAGAAAGTTATTGTAATAAAAACAGAAAAAAAAAAAAAATTTTGAACTTTTCGAAATTAGAAGAAAAGTACAACTATTGTCATAATAATCGGAATTGTAGTATAATATGATTCTTCTGTTCAAACGTCGAACTTATTTAATCATAATTTTCTTCTTGCATAAATCTTTGATATTTTTCTTTAATACACATTTAAAATTATTATCATTTTTTTATTATTATTATTTCTATTATTATTAAATGAAGAACTAATACATTAACTATATTCAAGTCCATTTATAATTTCAAGTTCGATCGAACAGTGTAAGTTTGAAGAATGTTGTTATACGGCTTTAGTCTGCCTAATACGGATATGATATTTCAGAAAAATGCTTCAACTTTTTGGTCACGCGACCATCTCCAATTCCGCTTCGTGTAAGCTGCACGGCTGACTGGGATGGGACTGCACGGTTGTCTACAATGTTTCGAGTTCTCGCCTGGCCGCCTGATCGCCTAGACGCTTGGATGGGCGGATGATGACGAACGGATTGGAATACGGGCAATGTCTACGGGAGCAAACGCACGGTCCGTTGAACGTACACACATATGTATGTACGAGTATGTTTGCTTGTCTGTCTGTCTGTCTGTCGGTCTGTCTGTCGGTCTCTCCGTTTGTACTCGTATGTACGGCTGATCGAGCGATCGCCACTGCCACGACGGTGTGGAGGAGAAACACTGAATGAATGCCGCTCGAAGAAACGCACGTAGGTGTATGGTGAGGTGAGGGGAGGGGACGGGAAACCGGGTGACTGAATGGATGAACGGTCCGACGACCGAATCGAGAAACGGACGCATGGATTTGTGCATTTTCTTGACAGCACGCTGGAGTTGCGCCAAGAATGCCGCGCATCTAAAACGCAGAGAGGCGTTCTGCACTGGGGGAAGGGCCGATGGAGAGATGAGTGTGGGGTTGGGGTTGGGCTGTGGCAGGCAGACACCTAAATGACTTAAATTTTGTTGTTGTTGTTGCTGCTGTTCGGTGGTATTAGCTGTGACACGACTTAGCCAACTGATGTCCCATCACAGGTGAAACAGTTGACCGAACAGGAGAAGACATCGTCACACCCAATGCCTAAAATGTACACTGGAAGAATAACCACCACCATATACGCCTCTTTAAGTTTGATTGCATAGAATTCCGTTTTTCCCTTTTATTAGCGACTGAACTCGAAGGCGGGTGAAAGGATTTCCTATTTTAATAGTATATTCTGTCCGTATGAACGCCTACAATTTTTGCACTTTGGTCGCTAGAAATACCAAACTGGGCACGAAGACTTGTCTTACTTATGCGCAAAGCAAGTTTATTAGAAATCATAATTATCTTCAATATTTTATATAGTTGCCATAGGAACGATCGGTTGAACAGACGCTCTTGGCAGAATATCGTAATAAAGTCAAGCGTCTATTTCTCTTTTGTAATGCCTTTCCTTAATTTGAAGTTTTATCAATATTTATAAATTTATTGAAGTGTGTTTTACCAATCTGAAGTTCCATCAAAATCGGTGCACTATGCATCCATGTCAGAGCAACGACTCTTAGCAACAATTGATTGTGTAGAGGCGGCTACCGGATGTTCAAGAATTCAAGAAATTCTGCAGAATTCTAAAATGAACGTTTTATTTGTTTGTATACTATTTAAAAATCTTAGTCACTAAAATTGTGCCAACACTTTTCCGAGTGTACGAGTAGTGTGAGTGCTTTGGGAGGCGCCTGTCGCATCTCATGACAACACGTGACACCTCATGTCAAATGATTGCCCTCATGCCGTGCCGCATTATGGTGCAAGCGAGAAATGTCTGAGATTGTCGGAGGAAGTGGAAAGTGCTCATAAATCATGGCATTACATCAATCATAAAAGTTCAAGTACTTGCGTTGCTCGAAATGTAAAAAAGTTAATTGCGTTTTTGAACCAAGTGGGTTATTATTTATGGCTTTGATCGGTTTGTTGTACTATTTGTAATTTTTGCATAAACATTTATATTTGAATTATAAGCTGCTTACGAACATTATAATTATCTATACGATCTGTAATTGTTTACTAGACTTGCCAAACCAAAGTTAAAATAAACATGCTCGTACTTATTGAAAATGCACAGAGCCTGCCGCCTCAACTTAGTACTATATATCATCTGATTGTTCCTTTTGTTGAAATGTATACAAATTTTTGCACGTGAGCCGTTGCCAAACAATAATAAATTGGCCAAAAGCTGCCAAATGAGCGCCCAACTAATGACTGACTAATGCCAAAAGCAATGGCGACAACAACTAGACAAACAACCAATATAATTAGTTCAACAATATTAACCAAGAACTGGGAACGCATCACATTAGGGCGAACCTAAACATACTATGTCCAAATCCAAAAGAATTTCAATAAAAGTATGAAAATAATGGCAACACATTGTTGTTATTCGTCGCCAATAAATTACACGCTGTGTATATCAAGTCCTACGACAGGATAGGATCAAAGATAGCAAGCCAAAAAATTATGTTTCGACGATCACATTCTGATCTGCTTCAGGACGGAACATAAGGGGTCCCTAAAAAGACAAAAGGTGGCATACAAATCAGGGGTCGCCCAAGAAGAGAAGCAAGCTAATGAAAATGATCCTTGACTAAAAGAAGAAGGCGGCTAAATGGGCTGAGGGATAAAAAAAAACGCTTTCCTAAGCTATATCCAAACACTGACAACACTAAGGACTCTTTGTTCTCCCTTTTAGGGGAAATAGTTATAATTAAAAGGGTGTTCCTTCAACCGCCTATTTAGATTACTTGATGTCCCCAATGTATGTAACTTTTCTTTTTAACATTGTCATTTCTTTCTGATTGATTTACTTTTATAAGACTCTAAGGCTGCCCCCTTTTAGGGGAAATAGTTGTTATGAAATGGGTATTCCCCGCCTATCGATGATCGTTTGAAGTCCCCAATGTTTGTCTCGAACTAAATATATTACTTTATAAAAAATTGTCGAACACTTTCTATCTTTTTAACATTGTCAATTCATTTTGTTTGAAAGATTGTCAAATAACTGGTAAATTGGTTTCGTGCCAATTTTTTGACATTTGTAACTTAAGCCCTATTTAGGGGAAAATTTTAATTTGTAGGTAGACAGCCTTTCTTTCATTGTGTTTATACACAAACTATTTGCCTTAATCGCATTGATTTACTTTTATAACATTGTCAATTCATTTTGTTTGAAAGATTGTCAAACAACTGGCAAAACGAAACCAATTTTTTTTTTGACATTTGACATTAAATTAAACCCTTTTTAGGGGAAAATGTTAATTTCTTCTTTCTTAAAAACATAAACTATTTGCCTTAATCGCACTGATTTACATTTGTAATCGGCCATAGCCTCTAAAGCTTCAGATTGACGTTGAACTTATTATTATTACTATTATAAAAAACTTTTCGATTCTTCAGTATTTTGTTATTTGTCACATCACTTGTGGTTTGGTTGTTTTGGCATTTTTTGTGACCAGGCTGGTCGCGTTGCGCATACGCCCCATTGGCCAAGTGGCGAAAATTGCTTCCGCCTGCAATGTTGAAATGCCAACAAAAAATCAAGTATACGCCATGTGAGCGCATCGTTCACACACTTGCCAAAGAAGAAGAATAACAGCAGGCACAACACTACTACTACTGTATGCCCAAATAAACAAGCGTGAGGCGAAAACAACAAATTTTACAAAATAAAAATAATATTTTTGCAATTTATTACACGAAATACTCGTTCGTGTACATACATATATCTGTGAAAATTTGCTGAAAAATGCACAGAAAGCGAGCGCTACAAATTTTGCAGCCCACCAGAATGTTGCACATTTGCTGTTGCTGTTGTTATTATTTTCTAAATTTTCAGAGTCAATTAAAAAATGTAAATTTAACTTAAAATTTTAAGGTAAGCAAAATGCAATGCGACGACGACGACGACGACGACGAAGCGACAAGCACCAAAAAAAATAGAAACAAACGAATGAAAAAAAAGAAACGTTGAAAAATTGCAATTAAAATTTTTGCTCGACTTTGTCACAACGAAGACGCCTGGCAGAAGAGTGGGTGGTGGGAGGTGGGAGGTGGTGGGCGGGAGGGAGGCGAATGGGTGTATGGAACAAATTTGGCGTTGACTGACTTCTGAGGCGTGTGTGCGTAATATGTGTGTGTGTGTGTGAGTGCTTGACTTGGCCATTCAACAAATTCTTAGCACATTCTCGACATTAATAAATAACTTAAGTTCACATCAAATCTTTCTTACTATATACTTGTATACAGATTGCAACTGAAACAGTTCTCTGTAAAAATAAGGAATAACAATTTATGAAAACTACACAAAATATGTTTAAATAATATTATACTGTGGGGTACCCGACCTGACGTATGGTTCCTCTGATAGTTGTCTGAACAAATATGTAGTTATGGTAGAGAAGGCCTAGCTCTCCCTTGACAAGGGGAGTTACCTCCCTAGAATTCCTCGTTTTCTTAGATTTCAACAAAGGCTAAAACTTTAAGTTCATTAAAGTTTTCAAAACATTTTTAAAATGAACAGAAAGTTACTTCAAGTTTCAAATATTAAACTATTAAACATTAAACAGATTGATTGGCATTTATATTGTAACTTTTTATTGGTATTAAAAAAAAAAAATTTTTGTTTTTTTGTGGTTTATTCCGGCTTCATTCTTTTTCGATTACAGGGTTTATTTTTTTAAACGTTCCCTTTCGATGAGCAGATTTGAATTTGAAAAGCATATCTTAAAGTTTTTCTAGGCTCGATTTCTTCAGAACTGCTGCGATCAACAAAGAAAAAATAAAATAAATAAATATACTCGTGTTACTTGAATATTAGAAGAGTCCAAATACAAAGATTGGTAAATATGGACTCAGCCGTTTCCGAAATCCCGGCGGTCATACAGACAGACGTTTCGTCATGCTGATTAAGAATATAAATAATAATAAATGATCGCATTTGGCGAAGCAAAGTTGTTCCATTAAGACCAACCATTTCATCCAAGTTTCGAACTGCTTACTCACACACCATATTCGAATTATTTTCTTTTTTCAATTTTGAAAAAATGAGGAGAAAGCCATTTTCATCTGCAACTCAACGTTTCTCACTATAGACGGGGTAACGAGTTTAACTCGCTGGGAAAGGTATATCGAGTCTATGTAGAAAACTAAATAAATATAATTTTTCCTAAATTTTTTGTGTTTTCTCTGTTACGTTAATTAGTTGGCTAGTTTAAGATTCTAACGAACTGTAACTAAATGTCTCATTGCATTTAAATTAAACATAGTCCCACAAAGTATTTAAATACACACATATATGTATGAAAAGAAACGAGGAAAGAAAGCCTAAGAGAGGGTCCAACAACATTACAACAATATCGTTGAAGAATCCGGCCAGCAAGTCTTTAAAGATAGAGGCTGCGAAAAACCGATATTATAAAACCGGAAAAGTTTCATCTTGGTCTATAAGGTGCTGATAAATTAAGATGATGTAATGGTATTTTGATTTAACGAATACAAGAACACCCTTAGCCTTGCTAACGATGGTAGATATGTAGAGAAGAAAGCAATATTTGGAATAAATTTGGAAGTAGATATGCGAATGTTAATAAATCATGTACGAGTATAATAAGTGACTAATTAGGATCTCAGTTGAGCTGCAAATGGTTAACTTAGCACCAAAGCTTCAAATTTCTATTGGATTCACATAAGCATGAGCTTGCAGGAATGCGACAAGATATAGTAGAAGGGAGATCGTACAATAAGAGAGAGTATAATAAAGAGCCTGTTTGGAAAACGCCAACTCGTTGGTAATTACTATAAATTCGCCAAAGGTCAAGTCCATTGTTCTCGTTTATGTTTGTTAAAGTTGTGTGTTATGGCTTAGAATATTATTTAAATACAAAAAATGATAAATGGTTCATACAGAGCTGTAGGATTTGTGTGTGTGTGTGTTTTTTTTTTAACATTTTCATTTGCTTTATAAGAAATTCAAGTTGAAACTTTTTAGCCAATATCATATGCAAAGCTTCACAAAATGCTGAATAGTTGAACTGGCAGGCGTATTTATAAATGATATTAGAACTTCAACTCAAATCAGTGATCTCCAGAGCATTTATGCTTCATTTAAACATCTTTATTCGTTTAATAATTTCTGAGATTTCTGATTACCTTAGCGTTAGCAACAATCCAGTCATGAAGTACAGCCACGTTGGCATACACACCTCCAACTGTATTGTGCGGGCACTCCGGGCCCGTCGATACAACTCCAATGAGTTTGCCATTCGCAACCAAAGGACTGCCAGAGTCACCCACACACGCATCCTTGGATCCAAGACGTCCAGCGCATAGCAATTCATTGATCAGTTTATCCTGAGGATGCTCTTCTTCGCACAGCGCCATATCTACAATGTCGATGGTGACCCCTTTAAGTACGTCCGTTTCTCCATATCCAGTGCGTCCCCAACCGGAAAGAAATGCCTGGGTTCCCACATCTGGTGCGGTTTTGGCCAACTCTATGGGTTTCACGTTTGCATTGTCCTTCAGATTGATTGATGAGCTCAAAAGAAGAACTCCAATGTCAACGGAAAAGTTACTTTTTTTATCATAGTCCTTGTGAATTATGAACCGATCCACATTTAATAAAATGCCACCATCAGTCTTGTTGCTGGAACCAATCCGAACACGCAGATCTTGAGGCACAAGTCCCTCCAAGCAATGTGCAGCTGTTACGATAACTCTGTCGTCGTAGATCGCACCGCCACAGTTTTGTTTGCCTCTTTCATTTAATATTGCTGCTATCCAGGGCGTGTCTTCAATGGATATGGCGTTTCCTCCCATGATACCGACTCCCCCATGAGGTCCTCAAGTCAGCAGAGCACCAGCAAATCGCTGAGAGCAGAAGAAAACACTTGATTAGCATTTCCAAGCCTTGAAGGAGTTGTATTCCCAATGATCTCTGGTTGGGCCAAGTCCCCCATTATATAGGCAAAGACTTTGCAAAGAGTCGTAAATATTAAGTCTTATAGCAGCCTTATCTGTAATTAGTTTTGTCTTGAGGCTCAAAACGTTTTAATGTTATATAGTTTTTCAGTCAAGTTCTGCACTTTATGGAAGCCGAAACGGGTTCAATATCATCCTTCAATCAATTATATTTTACTCTTAATGGGTAACGCCAGTAGATAGATTTATGTGCACTCTTATCTCTTTTCAATTCTTCTACAGATTGTTAAACAAATTTAAAAGTCGAAGAGTCCATGGAAACTATGAAATATTTGTGAGCTATAGCTTTTGGTACCGAAAGCATTGCGGCTAGAAAAAAGTGCTCTTTTTTTTTGGAACGGATTGGTTCGGCTTTGAAACAACTCCTTCATTTTGCTCTTCGTGTCATAAACTGAGTCCCGAATTTTCGTTTGGTAACTCACATACCACCACGACTTGATTCGAATCAGCTTTTAAAACCCAAAGCAGATAGGAACATAAGACTCCTGACCATTTTTATTTTGGCGTGGAATGGAACTCATCTCTAGAATGAAGTGAGGAATGGAACTTAGATCTGTGTGGACTAAAATTTTCTTCACTATACGCCTCCTGGAAAGGTTCTACAGCGTATATTTTATCAAGCTCTTAGATTATCCTAAGTCGCGTTCATCCATCTGTAATTCATCGTCAGAATAAAATGGGGATTGGAACTCAGACTCAATGTATATGAAAATAAAAATTTAACAGAGAAAAGAACTTTAGAATTACTTAAGAGTTAATTTTTGAAAGAGAAAAAAAAAAAAAACAAAAAAGAAATGGAATTTCCGATGGGTGGGGGAAGATTTATTAGCCAGTCCGACAAGCTATGCCCCGTCTCACAGCCATTCCTGGTCAGAGATTCCTGAGGTGGCTGAAAAGAACGGTTTTTATTAGAGGAAGAGACAGTTCGGTTGAGAGCAGGTGAAAATAATCGTTATAAGTTGAGCATAAAACCCGAAAAGTACTACCAAGCAGCAGGGGATGATAATTTCTTGTCGTTCTAAAAGGAACTGAGAAATGAAGACGACCTAATAGGAAAGGAGAATCGACAATTAGTTTGTGGAGAAATACAGCTCCGAGGACAGTCCTCCGATGTACCAATAACTTTATAAAGCAAGTCCAAAAAATCAGCTCATTATTTTTATTTCAAATCTGTTGGGTTTTCGACTTTATTTCGACTCCACTATCCTTAAGGTTCTTTAAAATAATGAGATATTTGGGTTGCTGCAAATTTCTAAATGTTTACTTCTAGGTGTTCGATATTATGACGCCATCTTGACTTTATGGGGCACTAAGTGGCACATTCTTTTATTTTCAAGCCATGGCTGATGTGCTCTGGGAAGAAGCTTTTCAGATCTCAGCTGCTTTGTAGAGCAGCCCCTCTCTTCGCTTCTCATAAATTGTTATTTACATACGAGAATGTATATTGAGGTTTAGGACCTCACTTCCAGATTCTGATGCCGATATCTGATGCTCTCCATACTGAACAGCATGTGGAACTCAAGATTTGTGGGTGGTGGTGGTGCGGGGTACGAGCGCATCTGCATCTGGTGCTTTTATTTTTAGTCCCCGCATATGTGGCACAGTCTAGAATACTAAGTATACTATATACATACATACTCGTATAGTATTGGCCATGCCAAACTTCATTTGGTTCAATGTCGCTCGCAATCGCAATCTGAATCGGAATTTGAATTTGAATTAGAATCTGATTCGGAATCTGTCGGCATGGACATTATTGAACGCTTTGATTGCGTCCCGACCAGAATATTCTATTTGATTTTAATAAACTTAAACGCAATCAATTTTATTGCGGTTGCGGTAGCGGTTTCGGTTGCCAGTCGAAACAAATTCGATTTGATTTGCTTTGCTTTTCGATTTGGATTTGGATTTGGATTTGGCTTTTGCGCAATTTTCGCCAAAATGTTGAGCACCATCGGGCCATGTAGGGAGGTGGTTGGGTGGGGAGGACACACGGGAAGAAAAAAAAAACCTTGTTGTTTACAACAAAATCCCAAGTGTGGAATGTTACGAAAATCTCGGCCAATCCAAATGCTCTCAACTTGTTTCGATATGCAATATGAACAGACGACTTATGTTAACATAAAACAGATGACGCGCAGCTGCTGTGACTGCCAATTAGGCTGGCCATGATCTGCTGGAGCTCTGCCAAGCGGTCCGAACTGCTCGCTCGCCGGCCTGCTTGGTGTGCGGACTGGAGGTGGGGCAGGTGGAGGGGGCTCTTCTCTCGACAATTGTGAGTAATGTGCATATTGCAATCAACGCCCATGATTACGATAAAAGCGCTGTTCCAGAAACTAGACTAGAAACCCAAACGAGGTGGCATTCAACAATTCATAAATAACAAAAACAAAAATTTTTAAAATTATAAAAGAAACAAGGGGAAATAAAGAAAATTAAAAAAAAAAAAACAGTAAAAAGAATTTTGATCGATTTTACCGATTTCGAACTCACGTTAACGGTTTATAAGTGCACATTAACATAGTGTGCGTATCTATGCGTCTCTAAGCATGTCTATGCATGTTTGTGCGTGTCTATGCATGTTTGTGCGTGTCTGTGTGCAGCTCGTGAGTCTGTGCAAAGCAGCAACAATTGCGGGCAGTGCTTGGTCATATATATAACATCCTGTTAACACGGACTTATAATCACTAACTAGATACATATATTTGCTAAAGTTTAGTCAAAAAGTTACTGGAGTTATGGAAAATAATGAATTGCGTATCATATAAGACATCTTGGATTACAAATTTGGTGTCTCTAGCTCTTATAGTCTCCGAGATATAGGCGATTATACGATTATACGAACGTCGTTACTAAAAAAGCCCTATTATCGGATAAGAGGTATAAAAAAAAAAAAAACTCGTATAGCCTACACACATAAGGTATGTTTCTGCAAAATTTGGTGTCTCTAGCTCTTATAGAGTCTGAGATCCAGGTGTTCATACGGACGGACGGACGGACAGATAGACAGGGCTAGATTGACTCGGACTTGACTTGACTTGTCATGCTGATCAAGAATATATATACTTCTGCCTGCTACATTTTTCATCTCCCGCAAATATAATAAACCCTATATTTCGCCCGGGGGTTATCCCCGCTTTCCAACAGTGAAAGAAATTTTTAAATCGGTCCAGTTGTTTCTGAGCCTATTCAATCCAAACAAACCAACAATCAAATCTTTCCTCTTTAATAATAGTAGTCTAGTAGCTAATAGCTTGAGCAAGTGGAACGTCAGATTTTTAACTAAAATATACTATCTTGCAGCAATGGTTCAGATTATGGTGAGTCACTATAGAAACACATAAATAAGTCGTTTCCTTAAGCTATATTCTGAAACAAACAAGGAACAAAATTTATTTCTAATCCCATTGTTCCTATGGAATGTGGTGAGTCACTACAGAAAATTTATAAACACCAGATTTGTTTAGGATATCTCTATAACGCCCATGATTACGATAAGCGTTATTCCAGAAGCTAAAAACCCAAACGAGATTGCATTCATGAATTCTTAAATGGGTTCAAAGTGTACAAAATATGAGCTTGAATAAGTACAACGTCAAAGGCCCCTACAGCTATATAATAAAGTCCACCGATTTGAATGAAACTTCAGACTATGGTAAGGCACTGTAGAAAATTTATGAATGCCACATTTGTTTAAGATATCTTTATAAAAAAAATGTTTTTGGACTAAGGTTGATTTTTCCATCGATCGTTCCAAAGGCAGCCATATGATATAGTTCCCCGATTTTTATGAAACTTTACAATATAATGAGAATCTACTCAAAACTCATAAATACCAGATTAGTTCTAAATATCGTTACAAACAAACTGAACTATCATACTAAGTGTGATTTTAACACTGATCGGTTCTATGGAAGCTATATAAAATAATGGGGCTATATATTGTTTGTAAAATACATCCTCTGTGTATCGATAGGACAAGCCCACTTATCAAGTTTGTTGTCTTTAGCTGCTATGGGTCGGGAAGAATCGATGTTCATACAGTCGAATAGATGAACAGATAGGCGGACGAATAGGCGTACATATTTATATCGCTTCTATTACTAAATATTATAGTTTGTTTTGATAATGTTGATTACTTGTATTTTAGAAATTGCTCAGTTTTCGAGTCAGTGATATTTTTCATTAAGATTCTTAAGGTTCTTGATTGGCTGCTTTCCCACTTTTCGAACCAACCTCGAGCATCTAGCACTCTGTCTTATCTCCCTTGTCGTCTGTCAGCTGGTTTATCGCAATATCAAGTCCAAGTAGCAGCCCCAATCACAGCCCCATCCACAGTTGCTCTCAGCTTAGTGCAGTTGCGTAGGTGCAGTGACGATGATGCCCATTGTTCGATGTCTCTGCCTAATGGTGATTACTGGCGCCTTCTCCCCCACTTGCTAACATTCATGCGCTCTCTCTCTCTCTCTATCCCCATAGCTGTTGGCGACAACGATGCTGGATGCTCAAAGGCGTCCGTCCCGACTGGTAATGCAGGCTCGTGAGCAGTGCTTTAGCAGCGGAAGACTCCGTCCGGAGCAGCGCCGGCACGTAGACCGCCACGAGTTCCCAGACCGGCCGGATGTGCGTAGCTATGTCCATTGCTTCTGGACACGCCTCCATCTGTGGCAAGACGCCCACGGCTTCAATGTCCAGGCCATCGTCTACATGTTCGGGGGCCCGGAACACGTCAATGTCGAGCAGGCGGTGCCCGCCATTAACGGCTGTAATGCGAGTGCCCGTTCCAACCGAACGGTGGCATCACCACAAAAATGGTGCTACGAGGCCTTTGTCTGTGTGCTGCGCACGCCGGTCGGTGTTTGGTATCGACGCTACATGTCTGATGTTCTTAATGGCAACGCGTGATGGCTAAAACTATGGTCAGACATGCAAATAATTTGCAAGCAAATTTGTATGAAGTGTTTAAAAGAAATTTCCACAATTTAGCATGGAATTCGGTTTGGTTTTATTAAAGTAACGTAGGTGTCATGGCAGAAAACTGGATCAATTTCTCGGGGACCATAGCTTCTAGTTCAACGACGCCTGATAGAACTCCCCATAACTCAGATTCAACTTCTTAAATTAATTTCCAACTGATCAACGGTAATGGGCTTACAAATTGTATAGCTCAATATATAAAGTTTTACAAAATTTTTAAAGCAACAACAAGAACAAAAAAGTGTAAAAGGGTTAGACTGTATAGTAGTCTAAACGTCAAATTTAGTAACACGCACAAACAGGAGCGGCTGAATCCATACAGGTAGCTACATAAAAGATCAGCATGACGAGGGGAATTGATGTAGACTGTTCGACTGTATGAACTTCGATTATTTCTGAACCATAACAGCCAGGAACAATAAACTTGTCTCATCGATAAACAGAGAATTATTATTATAAACAATATATAGCCTCGTTACTTTATATAGTTTTCAGTATTAAAATCACTCTTAGTATGATAATTCGATATTTAGAGCTAATCTGGTATTTATGAGTTCTAGTCAAAACTCATGTTTCATAATATTGTAAAGTTTACTCGAATTCGGTTGACTATATCATACAACTGGCATATTAGCGATCGGTGCAATAATCAATCTAAGTACCAAAAACAAAGATCGTAACCTAATTTGGTATTTATGAGTTTTGTAAAGTTTCTCATCATTATATAAAGTTTCATCAAAAGCGGTGCTCTATATCATATAGCTGTCATAGGGACGATCGGTCCAAAAATAAATCTTTGAACCGGAACCTAGTCAGTCCCTCACCATAATCTAAAGTTACATTCATATCTGTTAACTACAAGTATATGTACATATATATCCATGCTAATCAATTAAATTACTTGTAGTATTTAAAGAGTATTCATTCTTTTTAGATTATTTATTTTGAAAAACTATTTGGTAAAGGATTATTATTAGGTTATTAGTTTTCCGTCTGGTTTTAAAGATTTGCCTCAAAATGCTGAGGCATTGCTTGTCGTCAATCGTAGGCAGCCGTTTTTTGTACTTCAGAGCTCACAACTTAACGCATTTAACAGAACAAAAATACAGAGTTATTGATGATACACAAGTAAAGATGAAAGACAAAAACACTAGGGATTACCCACAGCCGGAGGACGACTCCATGGACTCGATGGCGAGCAGCAGTGGCACTAGCGGTGGCAGCGGTAGTGGCACCAACAACAACCGCAACACCCCAAAACTAGGGCTGCCAATCAGGAATTCCAGGAAACTGGCTGAACCAGGAACTGAGGGGCCGAACCCCTCGAATGGCGGCTCAGCAGTCAATCAGAAAGCAACTGTGGAAGCTGAGATGAAGCCAGCACCACAACGAAAGATAATCTGTCTCGAGTGCCGCATGAAGTTGGCTCTACTTGGGAAAATATGCCGATGCGGCGTTCCCAACTGTACCGTACATCCCTACGACAGTCGCATTGACGACGACACCAGCTCCGACAGCGATAGCAACAGTACTATCACCATTCGGCACAGCGAGCTGGCAATCAAAAACTATAAGGACACCATCGGGCTATCGGCTCGTCCGGATACTGAGCAACTGAGCAAAAATAGCGGCGATGAACTACTTGCCATCAATCAGCCGATGGACGACGAAGTGGGTGCCTGGAAGGTGGAGGCGGAGGAGGGACAAGCTGTTGACAAGAAAGTCGACACTTCTGTGGATATGCCGGACACCACAAAAAAGAATCGCTGTGCCACGTGCAACAAGAAGTTGGGCATCATTGGCGGCTATCCATGTCGCTGTGGCCTCTCCTTCTGTGGCTTCCATCGCTATAGCGATCGTCATAATTGTACCTTTGATTATCGCGAAATGGGCGCTGATGAGATTCGTCGCGCCAATCCGGTCGTTATTGCCAACAAGTTGAACAAGCTTTAAACCAAATCAACATAAGTATATCTCTTATGTTTTTGCAATTGCATCTTTACAAATGTTGTATCATAGTATTTATGTACATACATACATAGATGTTTATTAATGAGCATACCATAAAGAAACGAACGAACGAATGCAACAAACACACACACACACACACACAAACAGAAAGACAAACAACCAAAACTGAAAATAAAAATGCATCGTTCGTGTATATTATTTGATTTTCAATCATATTTTATTTCAAATAACTGTCCACCCAGTGCTGGACACATTCGCGCTACTATAACGTTGTGCAGCACTGTTTCTCACTGCTGACAAATACGGTGACAATGGCACGAACTGTTCTCTCACGATGACTGCGATTGGGATACTGCAGTGACTGTGACAATTTAATGTAATTGGTTGGTTCATTAATTTGCTGCAAGTGTTTTGAATAAAGTCATTTATTAATATTAAACAATGGTTCTAGCTAATATCAACAGTGTTGATTAGTTCTGTACAGCAATTTATTATTAAGTGACTTCTGGCTGCACAATACTCGTGACAGCTGCCGAAATGCGCTCATCTCTAACTAGCTGGAGACCATTTTTTGACATCAATTGAGAGGTTTATATGTATATGCAGGTATCTGCACATTTGTAGCATAAGATACGGGACATGGAAAAAAAGTCTAAAGACGCGCTGCGTCGCTACAAAAAGTCGCGCCAGCACGCACACTCTAGCACCGATAGCTCCAGCTCTGACACGGACACGGGCACCTCCAGCAGCTACTCCAGCTCCGACAGCGAGCATCATCAGCGCTCTAGCGAGCGGCATCGCAAAAAGAAAAGTTCCCGTCGCGCTGCATCGTCGTCGGGGGACGATCGTCGAAAGCGCGACAAACGCGATCATGTCCAAAGGAAACTGGTCGCCAAACGTAATCACATCAAGCGGAAGCTGAAGGAGGCGCGTCTCAAGAAGCGCGCAGCTGCCGCTGCCGCAGCGCTCAGTGGCCATGGACATCGTGCATTATCGCCAGCAACGCAAGCCAAGCTGAAAAAGCTGGCCGAGCGAAAGCATTTGCGTGCAACCAGCAAGGAGCAAAGGGAGCGCGAGAAGCTGCGTGCTGTGCAGCGGGATCGAGAGCGGGACCATCATCGTTTGGGCAGTCGTTCGCCACCGCCCTCGTCGTCCACAACGACCACCACAAAAATACGCATACACCAGGATGTGGGCAAGCGGGCAGCAAAGAGTCCAGGCCCCGGCCTTGGCTCCAGCTCCGCCTCCTCATCGCGCATGCATCACCAGCTGATGTCCCGTGAGAAGATCATCATACAAACGCGCACCCGTGGCCGCACCCCCACGTCATTGGAGCGGGAGAGAGAACGCGAACGCGAGCGGGAACGTGAGCATCAACGACATGAGCACAAACTGCAACAGCGTCACGATGATCTCTCCTTGCGTGATCGCGATCGGCGTGAGCGCGAACGTGAGCGTGCGGAACGTGAGGCAGCACGAGATAAGGAGCGAGCAGAGGCGTTGGCGCGTTGCCAGGAACGGCAGCGCGAGCGAGAACGGTTGGCGCGCGAAAAGATGCGGCGTCAGGAGGAGGAGGACAAGAAATATGGACGAGGAGCTGTTGTCGAACGGGACTTGGATATGGGATCGTACGGCAGTCGAGAGCGTTCGCTAGAGACGGTAGAACGTGGCGTCGTCGGGCGACATGTGCGCGATAAGAGGGAAATTGTCGATGTCTACGATCGAGAGCAGGAATATATAGAGGCGGACCGACATGGCATGATGGATGAGATGCGACGCTATGGTGGTCATCGACGACGCGATCTTAGTCCACTGCCTGAGCATTATACGCCACGCATGCGTGATCCACGCGATCTGTATGCCGAGGACGATCGTGAACGGTAAGTGCTGAACTTAAAAAAAAAAGAGAAGAAATGGAATAATTGCTGCCTTTCTGCTTGTAGAGCCTACAAACGTGCCTATTTGGACGCGCGCTACTCCTCCCGCGAACGTGAGGCTTGGCTGGAAGCGCGTGAGTTGCGCGAACGCGAGCTGCAAGGTCGTGAATACCGAGAGCTAGATCCCGAAGATGCACTCTATGCGGACGAACGGGAACGCATGCTGCGGGACAGAGAGCGCGGTCCGCCGCCGCCTGTGGGGCGCGGTGAGTATCGCAGCGATTGGGAACGCGACTGGGATGAGGAGAATGGCGGTGCTAGCGGCACGCCCGGACGCGCCAGCGGCTTCATAGGTGGACCCAAGCGTCTGGGTCTGTCCAACAAACAGCAGCAGACGCCACAGCAGCACCATTCGGCCTCAGAGCCCGACTGGGACGCGGACGAACAGGAGGCTGCCGGCAACGTTGGTGTCAAAAACGAGCCCGCTTGGCTGGAACATGACCAGCGCGAGAAACCACCGCCACGTTCCTGGCAGCCGTCCAACGACTGGCGCGACAGCGAAGAGCCGAGTTTTGGCCGCCCCGGTCCCGGTGCCTCCAACAGTGAGTCCAACCACCATCCCTCCTCGCCACACCATCATCCGCTGCATCCGCATCCGCGTGGCGAACGCGGTGGCGGTCGCGGCTTTCGCCGCGGCGGTGGTGCTCACGATATGGGCGAACGCGGCGGTCCCGGCTCTTATCGTCAGCATCCGCCGCCTCTGATGACGCTGCCCGTGCAGCCGCCGGGTGGGTACCATGGAGCCGGCAGCTCGCGTGGCTTCCCACACAAGCGCATGCCCTACGGCGGCGGTGGTGGTGGCTCCTTTCTGAAGAAACATGGCGGCCATGGCGGCCCAATGCAGTCGCAGCAGCACTCGTCCTTACTCCTAATGCAGCACACACCGAAACCGCCCACAGCGGCGGCGCAGGCCAGCGCAGTGGCCGCTGCCACCACAGCGGTGGCTGCAGCTAAGGCGGCAGCTCAAAGCGCCGCCAATGCCACCACAAATCCCGGCATATTGGGTCAGGTAAGCAGCAGTAAAATAACGAGCTCAGCTGCTGCCGCTGGTGGCCATCCCGGCGCGCTAGAAAATGCCGAAGAATCCTTGGCGCTGGTGGCCAACGCGCCGGACACGGCCAACAGCGAGACTGTAGCCGATCAGGGAACGGCAGCGGGCACGGGAACGGGCATAGCAACAGGCACAGCAGTCGTCGCAAGCGTCGATGACGATGATAAGGTCAATAATAATGGTGAGCTGAGCGAGATTAGCGACAGTGATGACGACATACTCAACAAGACGGATAAGGTGAAGCCCAAGTGTGAGTCGCAGCTGGAGAGCGCGTTGGCGGGCACACAGGAGCTGTCCACAGATACGCTCTCCAATGAGGAGATCAAAACTGAAAGCACAGAGAGCAACAAAACTGGCGCTGCCGCTACGACCATAAAAGTCGAGGAGGATGAGGTGCTGGACTTTGAAGAGATATCCGATGGCGAGCTGGAAGAGGATGCGCGACACAAGAGTAAGCGGTGCATCCAAAACTGCACGCAGACACTCGTAATCTCTCCCTCTCTCTTCCATTTGCAGGCATAGGCGATGCTCTGGGTGTGGACTGGCAGGGTCTGATAGCGGAGACGCGCCAACAGGCCACCGAATACGCCACACAACAGGGCGCGGATCGCAACACCTCCGCCAAGCAACGCTGGCAGCCGCATCGCGTCCTCCTGAACATGGGCATATCCTTTGAGATGGCAGGTGCCCAATACGCACGTCATCTCATCGAGGATGCACGCCAACAACTGCAACTCGAACAGAATGGCGATGTCTGTGGCGATGCAAATCAGAATGGTGGCTCTCCGACAAGCTTCCACTTGCAGACGCCGGCCCACGACTATCGGGAGATTCTCGCCACGGAGCATGTGGAGCCCCTGGCCTGTGTCCAGCTCGGCATACGAACTACGGCCGCTGAGCGTCAGCGTTTGGTGGGAAATGTCTGCGGCCTGAATAGTCGCGCCCTTAGCGCTCGACAGGATTTGCGCTTGCGTCGCCAATTGTGCGGCCTGCCCGCTCGCGAATGCGACTTTCCACGCAATCTGCCCATCGTGAGCGAAACCCTGCGTTGTATTTCCCTCCAAATGTTTCAGCGTTCGCTCGACATCAAAAGCTAACTGAAGAATTGAAACAATATAGTCTGCAGAATTATACAACTGCTAAATATACTATATTGTTAAATCTGTTATTGAAAAATGTTCTCAAAACTCAATAACTCCCCCCATATATATGCACACATGCTGTTGAGGAACAAAATGCGAATAAAAGGCACCGATTCCATTTCCATTTTGAACGCTAATACAAAAAATATGTTCTAAATAAAATTATATATAGATGTACATATGTAAGAAAATGTATCGCCTCTAGCTTAATAAACCATATTTCTCAACACATTCAGGGAATTTTGGGTTACGGAAATGAGTTAGGCCGAGGAGAAGTTAGTTCTGAAACGAAGATTAAATATTATTTCATTGGATAAATCAGTAAAATATCAATCAGCTGAAGAACTACACAATATGCTCGGTGAACATCTCAAAACTGAGGTACAGAATGGCGTTATTTCAAGAGTTCTTTGATAACCTAACTTGACCCAAGAACTAAAGCTCAAGACTCCACAACAAGAGAGATAAATACTCTTCACTCGAATCTATCAACTGAATAACAAGACAATGGACAAAAAGCCAACTCAAAAGATCTGTTACAGAAACAGCTTTAAGTTGAACATCTTGGTTTAATGGACAATCAACTTTACAAAAATGGAACTGAGTAATAAGCTGAAGACACTACAGCGAGAGCAGATGTAAAAAATTATTTTTTTACTTTTAAATCTGATTCAAAAACTAGAGCTTCATATTCAGCGGATAATAAATTGTTCTATACTTTAAGCCTCAAGCTAATTTAAAAATTAACTGAAGAATGCCACAAACTTAAGAGATCTTCTATTTCGTACAGAATCAGAATAAACAGACTGCAATCAAAATATAAATAGTTATAGAACTTAGAAGCATAGTCTTAAAAAACGCAAAAAGCTCAAGCTGATCTGAAAATTAAGATAAAGAATGCTGCAATCTTAAGAGAACGAACAATCGCAAGTGTGTAAATCTGCGTTTAAAGGCAGAGACAATGGATTTATTTCTAATTACCATCAAGATATAAAGGATAATAAAAAGACTGCACTTAAATAACCATATAAAGTGAATTAAATCAAAATCGCCTATATACCACAATAAAAACTATTTGAATTACAATAGCAATACAATAGAAGTTCAGAATGTGTAAAACTGAATCAACCATGAAAGATGACTCGCATTTTTTTTTTTTTTTTAAAGAGAATATTCGGCCTGGATTTACTTTCTTGCGACCTTGCGACAGTGCGAAATATGTTAAAACGTAAGTAAGCACATAATTTTCCTTATCGGGATAAGAGAAATAGTTCAGCCTTTGAAAAGTTTTTATTTTCAACTGTTTTTCGTCCTTGTTTTCGATTGAATGAAGCGATATAGAATTGTTCGCAATTCTTCATTAAAAAACCAAAAGGCTAAATCTCTTTGCGGAATTGAGTAAGGTTTCGTTTTAAATAGTTTTTGTTTTCGAATTCGATTGAATCAAGTGGTATAGAAATGTTTACAATTCTCTATCAAAAGTGGTTTAAAAAAGGTTAATCTCTTTGCGGAGTTCAGAAAGTTTTAATTTTAAACAGTTTTTCGTTCTCGTTTTCCAACTCGATTGAATCAAGCGATATAGAAATGCTTACAATTCTCTATCAAAAGTGGTTTTAAAACCCAAAAAGCTAAATTTCTTTGCGAAATTGAAAAAGTTTTCATTTAAGACAGTTTTTCGATCTCGTGTTTGAACTCGATTGAATCAAGCGATATAGAAATGCTTACAATTCTCTATAAAAAGGGAAATCGTTTTGCGGAATTGACAACAATTTGCAAAGCCAAATTCTGTATCAGCAAGCTTCCAAACGAAAATCCCAGTACTTGTCTCAAGAAAATACAACCGAGTAACTATACGCCCCACATATATATATTTTAAAAAATTATAATTGTAAGCCCTGTGGTAATTCACAAGAAATAGAAATCTAAAAAAAAAACAAATATATGTATACTATAGTCATATTCCAAACAGATCAGACAAATTAATTTCTTTTGTAGAACTTCAGAGCCTGCGGAAATGTGCTTTACTGAGAAGGTTTTTTCTATTTAAAAATAAATGTTTAAGGCTATGGGTTTCTATATCCCGTGCCCGATTTGATTTCCTGTGAATTGTTTGTATGTTCCAAAAAAGGAGACTAGCTTGTTTGTTTTTATATTTGAATTAAATTTCCATTTATAGTTTTATTCTCGTTCTTGCTTTCTTTCGCTCTGCTCTTCCCTTCTCTCTCTCTCTCTCTCTCATTCATTCTGTTTCATGTGGCCTGCTTTCTCGCTCTAATAGTTTTACACATAAATTAAGTTAAGCATTAAATTCTTGTGTATTGTTTTTATTAAATAGTTTTCATTTTTGTTTTACTTTTCATTTAACACTACAAGTAATTGTTTTTGTTTTTCTTTTGTGTTTTTTTTTTCTCTTTAAAAGGCCATAAACAAATTTTGTTCCGTTCTTTGTTCTTTGCTCGAAAATGTCTAATTTAGTGTTCTTCTTGTTGCCCCTTTGCTGTTGTTTTTGCTGTTGCAGTTTGAATTAACATTATTATGTTTTAATTGTTGTTTTGTTTTTATTTTGCATTTAAAGTTGTGTGTTGATTTTAGGTTTTCCATTCGATAGTTAAATACAATAATTAAATTTAATGCTATAAATAATTTCAGTGTTTAATTACAATGGCAAAAAATAATTACACATAAATATATATACATATATGTATGTGTGTGTTTGTTTATTTATTTGCTTTATTGTTATTTTATCTGGTTTTTAGTATAGTTTTGTGTTTTGTTCTTTATTGAAAATTGAAGCATATTTTGAAGCATGTGTGGGGTTTGTTTCTGGATGTTATTTAATGGGCATTACATTCCTGCCTTTGGCGACCACGCTTGGCGTCGTCTCTCTTTTGAAACTGGAAAGTAGGATACATAAATGTGTGTGTGTGTGTGTCTCTCTCTGTAATATTTGTTGTGTTTTTTCTTTTGTTAGTTTTGTTTTACAAACTTTTTTCCTTTTTGTTCTTTCTTTTTTTTATTATTATTATTTTTTTGTTTGTTGCTGTATCTTCAATAAATTAATTTCAGTTTTTTGTTTTTAAACAATTTTGTGTTTGAAATAAAAATGTGCAGCACGGCGCCTTTTGGCTTCCTACGGTTCCTCTCCTGCTTTGTTTCTGCATTGAATCTTCAACTGCATGCTGTTGCTACTGTTGTTGTTGTTATTGTTGTTTACTGGCGGCGGCGATGGCGTCGTCAATTCAATGACGGCATATGCGCATCATGCCAATTGATCTCAATGTTTGGCCATTTGGTCTGCAAACAGGTGACCATCGGATTTGAGGTGCATATCGACTTGAGATCCCCTTCCAGCAATATGGCCGAGCCACAATAGTAGCGCACCTGTAATAGATGAGAGGGAAGGTTGGTTGCTGGTTGCTCAGTATATTCCAATCTGAAATACCTTGTTGTTCTCATTCGAGCCGGGAATGCCATTATAGTGCATCAGCTCGAAGGTGTCCGGGGTAGAGCGACGCTCCAGTGGAAAGAACTCGTCCATGAACGCATTCAGCAATATAATGCCCAAATTTTCCGGATCCAAGCGTTTCGTCATCAAACTAACACTATTTTCGAAAGAGATGACAGTCAGAGAGTGTTACAAAGTCTATATATACCCTCAAAATGTTCCATTTTAGTGGAATCAGGTAGCCGAATTCTGAAATTAAATTTTCTACACTGTTCTATCATAAAAGGTCCACAGATGTTGCCAAAAGTTATAAATATATTTTGAACAATTCGTTGGTCATTAAGCTGTCCTTACTTTCGAAAGCGCTGACAATCGGAGAGTGTTATAGAGTTCTGTTGTTCAGGGATAAGGATTCTAAGATTCTTCAATTCTTCCATGATCATAAAACATATCCAGATTTTGCCAAAAGTATAATGATGACAGCCAGATAACGCTGTGAAATGCTTAGGAAATGTTCCTTTAAGCAGATGGTAATGCTAATGCTTTAAAAATTTATAATATTTCTAACCACTAATCGGAGTCTTTAAAAAGGTCGAAAGACTGCGTAAGGTTAGGAATATTTTAGACAATTCGATTTGAAAACAGTGGTAAGACTGTAAAATTATCCCTAAAAATAAGAGTATTTTAAACAATTCACTTCAGATAAAAGTCAGAAAGTATTACTACCTTTAAAGAGTTGCAAGGTTAAGAGTTGAGATTTTCTTCAAAAGAGATGCTTCCTATTATAGATTTTGTCTAAAATTGTAATATTTGTATTTTCAAATATTTTAGATAGTTCAAGTAATTAAATAACGCTTCATTGATAAAGTCGAGTCTAGGAGCATTAAATAAAAAATTGAAAGCCATAAAAATACTCTTAAAATGTACAACATTAAAGGCAAGTCTTACATTAAAAAGATACTGCACTTTATTGAAAGATTTTCTATATAGTTTCTAGAAGTAAGGATACGTCTCAGCGCTCGCTATGTTTTTACCCTAAGAAAATTATGGGGAATTCCAAATTATGAAGGGATTGCAAAATTTAAAGCAATAACTGAAAAGACTCCAACCCCCTCAAATGTTTAACTATTTGCGATGCTTTAAATAGTTACAAAAATCAAAACCAGCATTTATTTCGTGATTTAGGAATGATATATGGGCTTAGTTAAAAGATGTGATCTGAGAAGTTTTAAGGATTTCAAATAGATCATCTAATTAAGTTGAGCGAAATTTATGCCATTATTTTAATTTGTAACAAACAATATATGGAAATATTGAAATGATGGAACAGGTTGTTCAAAAAGTTATAGATATTTTAAAAATAGTCAGAGTAAATTCCTTTGAGTGATTATTTTGAGCTGTAAGAATCAATCAATTCTATAGTCGTTTTTAAAACATCTAATAAATTGTAGAGTTTTCAAATAGATGTAGATATTGAAGCTTAAATTCTTCCAGTTATTTTTTTGAGAAATACAAATAAATAAACTCTATAGTGGACTTGTAAAGTTTTTTAAATATATGTAGATATTCGAATTTTAATTCTTCTAGTATTAAATTAATAGGTAATATTAAATTCTTATAAAGCTAAACCTTCTGAAAGGTGAGCTCACTTAATTCTGGTTATGTTCTAATTGGTTTTCGAGTCTTCTAAGAAAAGGAGTCGTTCCTAATCAACTCAATAGCATTGGTTTGGAGAAAAAAGACAGTATGAGATGTGTTTTTGAAGGAACTTGTGAAGTTATGAATTAGATGTAGATAATAAATTCCTATAATTCCTATGCTCTCTTCTGTGTTCTGCAAAGATTTTTCAAAAGTACTTACTAGGCCGGCTCGCTGACCAAATTTAAAGCGGCCAACACATCGCGCAGCACTGAACTCGATATGAAATTATTGCCCTCGGGATCGAATGACTTAAAGATGCGACGTCCCGTCTCCGACGGTGTTTCTGGTGAAACGAGCCTCTTTTCTTTGCTAAACAGAACTGTGCACACAAAACGAGAATTATAATAATAACAAAGTATTTAAGAAAGAGTCGATGGTGACTCACCAGTTAAATGCGTGTCGGAGCCCATCACCCAGACGGGAAAGCGCGGATTCTTGAAGAAGGAGCCGACAGTGCAATAACGCATTTGCTCCATTAGGGTTATAAATCCGATATCGCTCTGCTCGCAAATGCCGCGCAACTTAAGACCGCCGACATCCTGCTCATTGTCCCAGACATGGGCAACCGCGCGACCGGTCAGCATCAGATTGATTAGGGATTGTGCGCCATAGCCATAGGTATTATGTATCAGTGATTCGGATGTGTCCGAAATCTCTGCCGTCACCTGCTCAATGCCCTTTGTCAGGAAGACGGAATACATAAATATCAGCACTCCGTATGTGTTCGATAGTTGACTATAGTTCTCGTCATAATACCGGGCCACTCCTTTAATATCATCAAAGTAAACTGTGCGCAGGTTATCGTGAAACTCATTGGGCGTCAGTTCCAATCCCAATCCAATTCCCATATCCAAGCCGGCGCCACCACTCACATCCGCCGAATTAATCGATGCGCTGTTGCTGCTTCCTTGGGTCAAATCGATGACCGTATTGGCAGCAGCAACGGCGGCAGCTGCGGTAGCGGAGGCACTGCCAGTTGGTGGGGCAGCAGCGCCAGCAGCAATATTGGATGCCTCATCCACATCGACGGCGGCATCATCGCCAGTGGGCGTCTCCTCGGACTGGTGACGCTCTTTGGTTGGCTCACCGCCCTCGCTGGCTAGGCGACGACGCAGCAGAGTGACGATACGATAACGAGGCGCACGGCAGTTCTTCAAGATGTTGCACAGCGCTTGAATCAGCAGGCTCTGGCATCTGTCAGGTGTTAGCTGCTTAATGCACATTTATATTTTCATTAATAATTCAATTATTATTATTGCTGTTCGTTCGAGCTCACCTCCGTCAGCTTGACGCTTGGCATGTCCATGATAATTATTTTAAGCAAGTACGCCTGCACGGGCGCTATCACAGCACAAGGACCGCCCTGCTTTTGCACCAAAGCCGAGGGCTCCACATCGCTGAACTCGAAACCTACACAAACGCACACACACACATATATATATATATATATGTATGTATATACATACATACACAGATAGAGAGAGGGGAAAAAAAAAACAAATACAGACACAGAGCATGATGTCAATTGGAAGCGCAGTTACACACCTTGAGACCAACGGTTGAATACATCTTCGAGCACATTGTCCCCCCAAAGCAACTGTTGGATTTCTCCCAATTCTCGCATATCGTCCTGGAAATAGCGCGCCAATCCCCCCCTCGCCGAACCTGAAGCGTAACTAGTTGTTGGCATCTCATGCTGTACTTGTTGTTGCTGTTGCTGCTGCTGCTGCTCCTGATGTTGTTGTTGCTGCTGCTGTCCAGCAGCAACATTACTGTGCGTTTCCAAGGCAGCCGACGCCAACGTCATCGCCACCGTTGATGCAGTTTTCGACGGCAAGGCGGTGGCAGCAGCGGCGACGGACTTTTCGTTCTCTTCGCGCTCGTCGCTCATCTCTCCGTCTCCGTTTTTGTGTTATATTTTTACTTAAAGCAGTAAAACACATATACACACACACACGCAATATTTAATCGTTTTTATATTAAAACGCAGCTTAAATAATTTCGCATTTGTTGCACATTTCTCACGCGCCCCGACCTCGCCAGAGAATTGCAGGCGCGTCGCTTCCTGATTTTAGCCAAAATAGTGGTGGGAAATATAATACGTATCTGTTACTTTCTCGCAATTATTATCAAATCGCCCAATCACCTCACGAAAAAGTCACAGAGATACAAAGCCGCTACGCAGTATACATTTGTATATACACATACTATATATGGAATTGTTGTTTTTATTTGTTGTTTTCTGAACAGTAATTAAAGTGAAAACAAGACAATAGTGCTAATTTGTTTTTAATTTGTAGACTAGGTTGTGCCGTGAAGTAAAAAACTTAAAACATTGCTATAAGAAATATCAGCTCGCAAACGTGCGCTCATTTAATTATATATCTATGAAATATTAATAATGAAATGGTATGTTTAAAATTTTATATTTATTTTCAAACATTGCAATATATATGTTTCGAGAGATATCAGTGACAAGTTAATTATTTATCTATGATATATTAAAATATTTTAGGTTTTAATTATATGTTGTTTTTTTTAAACCACTTTTATAAAACCAAGGCATTATTAACGTTATGTTTAAAATTTTATTTTTATTTTACTAATCAGTTTTTGAGAGTGCGACAAAATACAGGCACACAAATTGTAAAAGCAATTACTTAATTATTTTTTAACAACATTAGTAAATAATAATTAATGCTAATACTTTTATGGTTTCGTTAAATGCGTTTTTTTTCTGTATAAACTTTTACCTTATATTGTATTTTAAAATTACCATTACCACTTATGGTTTTCAACATAATTTTTATTTTATTTCAACAAAAAAATTGACTTTATTATAGTATTCTATTTATGATAAAATACATATCTAAATGCTATGCTATTTTCAAAAAAATAATAATTAAAAATTGCCGCCAAACGAGTTGTTATTTGAATCACCGTGTCACGGTATTGCTTTGCAGTGAAGTGTGATTTAGTGATAAAGTAGTTGCAACATAAATATACTTGTGGCAGCCTCATTCGCTCGCACAAAATAACGTGAAATCAAAATCTTGTAAATTTTACAACTATATAAACTGATGAATAATAATAGATGGTTCCTACCAGTTGTCATATGTTTATAGGAAATGTGAGCGATTAATTGTTGCGCCGAGTATTTAGTACTGGAGTGAGCCGGTGAGTCGCTAAATGCTCATCCCTAATGCGCCGTATGTCGGTTATTGCAACGCGGAAATGCATCATCTGTGAATTAATCGCGTTGCGAATAATTTCAAGCGCGTAAATTATTTGGCCGTCTGTGTGCCATGCAGGCCATATTGCCCAAAACTCCGGGCACCAAAAACCAGAGGAAGAGTGTGAAAAGTGCAAGTGCCGGCTCGGCCCCTCGGATCTACCATTGTCCCATTTGCTTTGCCGGCTTCGTTCGCTTCTCGACCTGCCGGTCCCACACACTCGAATGCGAACCGACAAATGAGCTGCTTTATGTCTGCAAATATTGTCTGACGCTATATGGGGATGAGGAGGTGCTTCAGCGTCACATCTTGCGGTTGCACAGCGATCGGCGTTTCCTGTGCCTGCAATGTGGTAGCGAGGGGAAACGCTATGCGGCTTCTGGTTTCCTCTACAAGCACATCAATAGCTGGCATGGCGGTCACTCGCTCTTCTACTGTGCTTTGTGCGCCGACGATTGCAACGATGCTAGAACGTTTAGCAGCCATGCGGCGCTGATCGCGCACGCCGCTGGCGAACATCAGTTGTACGCGAGTGCGACGCGCAGCGATGCGGACACCGACAGTGTGGCCGATGCCGATGAGACAGAAGATCTGGAAATGCTGGAGGAGAACATCGATGAGTTGCTGCCGCCCGTTGACTGGGACGACGATGTTCAATTCGGCTGGCCGACCGGTCTCAGCAAGGAGGACTGCATAGCCGATCCCAGGCCGCCGGCTTATGTGTGTCCAGTGTGTGGCAACGGCTTTCCCGGCAGCCTCAGTCTGCTCAACCACATCGACAAGGACCACAAGTCCCGCAATCCCCTGCACTGCATCTACTGCGGCAAGGAGCATGAGACGCGCGAAGCTGTGCGCTCCCACCTCCAACGCCAGCACGTCCTCGTCCGTCCGCACATCTGCAAGACATGCAATCGGGACTTTGCCACGGCAGACCATCTCCACAAGCACGCACAGAGCCAGCACCAGACACAGCTGCCGTTTGTCTGTCCCGCGACCACCTGCAACAAAGCGTTCGCCCAGCTCGGCCATCTCAAGCGGCATATGGAGACGGACAGACACCACAAGACCTATATCTGCGCCCTGTGCGACGATCAGTTCTTTCGACGTATCGATCTCGAACGGCATGTGATCCGCAAACATCCGTAGCGCTTCCATCAGCAACTAAGATGGGTGAGTACCGAGCCATGCCTATGGAGGAATTTAACCCAAAAACCATCAATAAATAACATTTAAAGGGTGGCTGATAGATTTGCGACTGTAATTATTTTTTTGTTCATTTAATAGTTTTTCATAAAATCGAAGCAACTATCTCATTTTCCCGATCATTTTTGGTTATTTTCAAATTAGATTTGAAGAATGGGTGAACTTAACTTTATGAAAGACCTGCCTACCTATCAAATTAATTTTGCAACGCTTTAGCTAACTGCTTAATTCATTCAAAAGTTACATCGATTTTCTGCATCTAATAATCGAGCGACTTTGTTATTAGGCTTTTGAAGAGGTCAAGCTCTGTTATACTTCAGTTGTTGTTGTTGATCTTCTTCTTCTTATTATTGTGGTTATTGTTCTATAGATGCATTTGCTGTCTGGGCAATTAAAAGTCACTCACTGAGCTCAACTCAAGAGCTTGTTGCGGAAACCACAAACATTGATTAACCTTTTGCCATCCAATCCATACAGCCATGGAAAAATGTCAGTCACAGACCCTACTGTTAACAGCACTGCTCTTAACATTCTACTGAGATCCGTTCGCTGTACTGTAACATGTGTAAACAACGGCTTAACTTTTTAAAATTTAATTAAATTTATTTACAATTTGTTGTCATCTTACTTCCTAAGAAAATCAAATTGTTATAATTAGGTTTGTTGTTTGCTTAATGTTCATAATTTGTAAAATGCACAAAATAAAGTAGGAGAAACAGACTTTATTTTGTTAACATTTATTTATTACCAAGCTGGCATTTACAGTATTCCGACTCCAAAACATATAGTTTTTCGAATAGTATTTCCAATCCTTAAATCTTGTTCTAATAGATCGATCGCATTGAGGCACCTGCCTGTGCAGGCGCTGTTAGTTAACAGCGCACCACCTGTTAGACGTCCACTGTTCAGTGCGCTCAGCAGCTGTTAGCCACGCACCCACACTCATCGCGCACACGCATGTACTGCAATATCAGTAGCGGCAGCAGAGTAGTAGCAGCGCCGCTGATCGCAGCAGCTGTGAGCAGTGAGTGGCTGGGAGCGAGTCGGAGCACAACAGCAGCTGCGCAGTGGCGGCGCAGTGGCGGCGCTGCAGCAGAGAAATAAACGTTATTTCTGTCTTATTGTCATTTAAAGTTGCGCACTTGGCCGACACTGTTGACAGTTTTGAACGAAACTTGCGAGCGTTAAGGTCGAAACGTGTATTGTTTCTGTAAACTTCGTCGTCGCCGCATTCGTCGTGTTAAATTCTTTTTCTTTTTTTTTTTTTAAATTGTTACTACTATTATTATTTTACTGTGTGCAGCATTTGTGTTAACAAACCAAAGACAACCGAGTGTTCATGTTCTTTGCTAATTGCTTTGTTTAAAATAAGATAACAAGAAATTGATTGCTTGTGTAAGTAAAAAAAATGAAAAACGTGTGCCTCTCTGCTACAATAAGAAATTTTAATCTACATTTTAAAAAACAACAGCAACAAATTAAACAATATATAGCATTGTTAACAACCGACCCAACCAGCGACCCTCGTTTGTTGTTAACGTTTCTGAAACAACTTTTTGTTGTTGTTTATTTTAATGATTCCGATTTGTTGTTCAGTGACGCTTGAAACGCGCTTTGAAATCAGGCTTTACGCCACTGTATTGCATTTGTTTTTGTATTTTTAAAATAAAAACAAAAACTGATTGTTCATATTTGTACGTCTGTGTGTGTGTGTTTAGAGAGTAACATGCAATTCCGTTAGAACTAAAGCAGAGTTTTATCGACAACAACAACAAATTGAGAAATTCTAGCAATTTGTGTGAAAATTCCCCTCGTGGAAATGTGGCTAACAATTATTTATTACGAATTTAAAGCGCTCGGCACCTTAATTTACACAAATGCCGCGCTTGAGTTGGCTTGGTTGCTATTTTTAAGCCGACAATCGTAGGGCCAGATAAAATAATCAAATGTGTTATGATTATGCACCCAATACTAATTGATCGCGCAAACAACGGCTGGCGTGCAAAGCAGTTGAAACCGAATAGCCAACAACAATACCAAATGAATCACAAATGAATGCTAATAAATGGTTCTTCTTTTCATTCCCATGATTGTTCAATAACTTTAACTAAAACCAATTGTTTATCCCACTACAACAAGTCAAAATGTATGCGTGTGTGAAAGTGAATCATAAATGAATGCTCATAAATTGTTCTTCTTTTCAACGTTTAAACACTCGAACATTGAAATAGCATTACAAAAATTCCTTTCTCCACTAAAATAAGTCCAAATACTTTCTATGAGTGTACGAGTGGTATTATATTTTGAAGTGAATCATCAATGAATGCTAATAAATGGTTCTTCTTTTCATTTCCATGATTGTTCAAGAACATAAACCAATTGTTTTCTCCACTAAAACAAGCCAAAATGTATGAGTGTTTGATAGTAAATCATCAATGAATGCTAATAAATGTTTGTTCTTTTAAAGTGAATATACAATAAATTCTGCTTCTTTTCATTTCAATGAATGTTACTTAAGCACTAGAGCCACAACCATTTGGTTTACCCTCAATATGAGTTCACGTGTGAATTAACAGTGAATAATACCGAAATATTTTGTTTTAAAACGATCACTATATGAGTGTTATGCTTAAGAATTTCCTTCAACATATGCGACATATGTAGAGTGTTACAAAAAATTATTTTAAAACAAATTGATTGCCACATAAATGAATGTTTTTGGAAAATATTTAGCAACTCAAACTAATTATAAATGAGTGCATCAAATTTAAAAGTCTATTTCATGCTATAAGGACTGGATCTAAAAACTACTAGCTCTTATACTTCCTGAGATAAGTGCGTTCATACAGACAGACAAACGGATAAAACAGATGTCCGGACGTATCAGCCTCCCATTTCCGATTAAAGTTACAACAACTGCTCAGTTACTTGCCAGTTGTTTGTCCGTTTTGTCGGAGTCAATCGTTATACAAGTATAGACTCTGAAATAACTACAAACGAAATATTTCTTCAGAACAAAGGTAAAAATTATGGTAACCATTCTATTTGGAACGGTATGTCCTACGCATTTTCAAATCCAAATTAGAGGCTTGTTGCTCTTCGTACGAAATTTCACCAAAAGCGTGGCACTATACAAGGTATAGGTACTGTTGAACCACAAATAGAAATAAATTAATATTATTTAAAAGCTAATTATTTTTTAATCTTCAATATTTTGTGATAATTTTTAGAAATGAAATTTATTTTTGGTATTGTTTTTATTATAATTATTATTGAAATTCGTATAAGTATACATAATTGTTAAAAATAAAATGCCAATTCTATATTCTATACAATTCAATGAATGCTTTTGGCTGCTGGCATTATATTATATCCTATTGTAAAAGTGTTAAATAGTTTTTACACTTCATGGATTCCATGCAATAAACGAAAATCCATCCTTTCGTTTCCTTACACAGCCACATTTGTTGTTTTCGGCGAGGGCGATTTAAGAATATTTTGACAAGTATAGTACTTTATGGTTTCAATATTAGATACGTAGTGCAGCCCTGGTCCTTGTAACCGGTTAAGGCCAAACCCAAAATCGGTGCCCTCATTATTTTTATCGAAGAATGCCATCAAAATATGGAAGTGGCCCTTTCAATGAAAATCGGCTAAACAGAGCTATTTCCCAGTTTTCCTGCGTGAAAAATTTGCAATATACGAGTATGTATTGAATCAGGGTAGTTTATAATAAGTCAGGGTTAAGTCAGAGGAGTTCTCAAGTATCCAAGTGACATACATACATACATACTAAAGCATTTTGTTGTGATCGGAAAATTATGATGATATTTTCGGAGCAGGGAGAAATAAGTATTTGTTAATTCATATATGTACTTATATGCATAGTACATACCGCTTCTTTGCTAAACCAGCGACAATAGCCTCTGGTTTGAAGAAACAAAACATGAAATAAAAAAATAAAAAAAAAGTATTAAATATGAAAATCAAATAATATGAAATCTAAAATAGTAAATAAAAATGTGCATCCAAATGTGCAATTCGTCTCCACAAATTGCGAAAATTTTCTGCACAAACTGTGGAGCTGCCGCTGAGGTTAAATAATCGCAATATCTTTGAATGCTCCTTTTGCAGCCCTGGGCCCCCACTCTGCAGCATGCGATGTCGACGAGAGACGTGGCTGAGGCTCCACGCAGACTTGTTATTAAGCGTGTAGCCCGTCATGTTGTGAATTATTTTTATATTGTAATTGATTTGCCTGTGCGATCTGCTCTCTTCCCCATCCAGCCTCTCTCCCTCTTCCACTCTCCAAGTCCTCTTCAATAGCTCAGCAGACGCTGCCCTTATCTTTGACTGCGACTGCAGCTGTGTTTTTGTTTTTCTCTTATTATTTGCGGTAGTTGTTGTTGTTATTGTTTTTGTTGTTGCAATTGTAATTTGCCACTCCTGCCACACAGGCACAACAAAAACAACAACAACATAATACTAATAAAAGGCAAAGCGTCGAGGACCGCCCAAGCGGGGCATTGTTATGCTAATGGTGTCCACTCCTTTGTAGCTCTACCTGAGTAGAGTTGGAACGGTGCATGCGGCACTGGTTCCACTGATCGAACTGGGTCTTTGGCTGCAGTTCCTCTTGTACACGAACTGGGTTGGCACTTGAGATGAAATGTCATATATTAAAAGCTAAAAAAAGTTGTACATTTGGGATCCTTTTGTCTTCTAAATTTTGCATAAAATTAAATATATCTACATAGAAGCGATAGTGGTGCCGTGCAAAAGATTTTCTGCTATTTTTGGCCAAATAATTTCCTTTTATTCACTCTCATCATAAATTAATGTTTAATCCATGTGGAGAAACAGGAAAACAACTGAACTCAACAGCCGAATGAGCTAAGAAAACGAACTAAAGGAGCTAAAAGTTTAAAGTATGTAATCAATTTTCCAACTGCATACCTGAGCGAACC